GAGAAAGGAGTGTTTTTTAATTAATGATGTTAATCAATTTGACATTCATATGAAGCAAAATGAAGTTTGAACCAAAAATGGTGGCACACACCTATAATCTCAGCAACTCAGGAGGCTGAAGCAGGAGGATCACAAGTTCAAAGGCAGCTTCAGCAACTTAACAAGACCCTGTCTCAAAATTTAAAAAAATTAAAAGGGCTGGGAATGTGGCTCAGTAGTTTAAGTGATCCTAGGTTCAATCCCCAGTACCAAAAAAAAATGAATTTTGATTCCTTTTAGATACTCTTCACACAAAATTTATTCCAGGTAGATTAGAGATCTACAAATATTTGATATATACCACAGGATATTATCTTCATAACCTGGAAAGTAAAGAAAGATTTCTTTCTTTTTTTTTTTTCTTTATGTTACTGGGAATTGAACCCAGAAGCGCTTTACCACTGAGCTACACCCCAGCCCTTTTTATGTTGGAATGAAACAGGATCTCACTAAATTGCCAACGCTGGCTTCAAAACTGCAATTCTTCTGCCTCAGCCTCCCAAGTAGCTGAGATTACCACACCCATCAGGAAAAATTTCTTAAGGAAAGTAACCATATTGAGAAGTGATCAGTAAACTGAACCATATTAATACCAATACTCTATTCATCAAAAAACCAATAAGAAAGTAAAAAAGCAAACCAGGGTTGTCCAAGACATCTGTCATATATAAAAACTGGGAATGAAAAGAGTTCATTTCCAGAAAATAGAAAAAACAGAAAAGTCAAATGTGCATGCAACTCAAAAAGGTACAAAACAGCAATGGATGTGTAATTTGTCATTAGAGTGCTTGCCTACCATGTGTGAGGTCCTGGGTTCAATCTCCAGTACCTCAAAAAAAAAAAAAAAAGTACATAACAAAAAAAAAACTCAATGTCCAATAAATTTATTAAAAAGGAATGCAATCTAATTGGGAAATGCAAATTTAAATCATCATACTATTACTACTCAAGAGAAGCTAAAATTCAAAAGTCACTGTTGGCAGGAGTATAAGCTGATGATACACCAGTCCTTAGGAATACTATCTTGTATAATGTCCTAAAGGTTAACCAATAAGCATTATCCTGTGATCCAGCAAATGTTATCCTAGATCTACACTGAAATAAATGCATGCACCAAAATACACACATGAGAATGTTTCATTCATAATAATCCTAAACTGGAAATAACCTAATTGTCCTTTTTTTTTTTGGTGCCAGGGATTGAACCCAAGGGTGCTTAATCTCTCTGAGCCACATCCCCAGTCCTTTATTTTTATTTAGAGACAGGGTCTCACTTAAGTTGCTTAAGGCTTCATCAAATTGATGAGGGTGGCTATGAACTTTCGATCCTCTTGCCTGAGTCTCCTGAGCTGCTGGGATTATAGGTGTGCTCCACCATGCCTGGAAAATGCCAATCAAATAATAAATAAATTGGTACAATTCACTTAGAAAATATTATACACCAAGGAAAATAAACAAATTAGAAGAATATGCAATAATATGAATGAGTCTCAAAAAGATAATCTCATATCAAAGAAGTTAGACAGAAAAGAAAATATACCATACAATTCCATTGATATGTTAAAAAAACAGACCCAAGCTAATTACAGTGTTAGAAGTGAAAATAATGGTTATTTTTGGGCAGGGTAATATTTGGAAGGAAGTAGTTAATTGACAAAAGATGACTTCTATAGAACTCATAATGTATTGTTTTTTCATTTGGGGTGCTGGTTACAAAAATATGTCCACTTTATAAATAATTTACTGACTTGTATTTTTATATTTCCTTATATGACTATTAAGTAATGTATTATTTTACTTTATGAATAAGATTGAAAAGAATCTCTAAATTAGTCATATTATACTATAAAACAAGATAATATGCAGCAAAGAATATCAAAATCTCCTCCTTAAAAGCATGCAAGGCACTGGGTTCAATCCTTAGCACCACATAAAATAAGTAAATAAATAAAGGTATCGTGTCCATCCACAACTAAAAAAAAATTTTTAAAAAAAAGGTTCATACACAAAAGTATTCATTTTAGAGCTGTGCTAGCCAATAAAGTAGCTACTAGTCATTTAACACATGCGGTCTTTAAATTTTAATTTTCATTAATTAACACTAATTAGTGCAGGTTGCACTAGGAACATTTTAAGTGCTCACTAGCCATAAGTGTCTAGTGACTACTGTACTGGATGACACAGATAACCTTCCATCTGGCTGGAAATGTAGTTTGGTGGTAAAGCACTAGCCAAGCATGTACCAGGCCCTGGGTTCTCCAGCAACACACACACACAAAAGAAAACTTTCTATCACTGTCAAAAGTTCTAATAGAGAGCTTTTATAGAAAAATAAGTATATTAATATTATATTCATTTTATTGTACTAACTCATTATTCACTTACATAACCATACCTTATTTTTAAAAATATTTTTCTTTTACTCTCTAACCCAATATCTTGACATAAAAATGTTCAGTGGGAATTCATTTATTTATGTTATCTAGGATAACATAATATATATAATTCATATTAAATTCATATACATATACATATAAATTGTAATTGGACACAATACCTTCATTTTATTCATTTTTTACATGTTACTAAGGATTGAACCCAACACCTCACACGTGCTAGGCGAGTGCTCTACCGCTGAGCCACAACCCCAGCTCCACTGGGAATTCTTATAAAAATAAAACTATAACACATAGATCCTGACACTTTATTTAGGACTTAAAACACAGTTAATATTTAAATCTTTCCACATGGGAAAGCTAATAACTCATTATGTGCTGTGTGTGTGTGTGTGTGTGTGTGTGTGTGTGTATGTTTTACTGGTGATTCAATCCAGGGTTTTTTGTATTCTAGGTAAACACTCTACCACTGAGCTATACTCCCAACTCTTTTTACTTTTTATTTTGTGACAGGTTTCACTAAGTTGCCCAGAAATGGCCTTGAACTTATGATCCTCCTGACTTACCTTTCCAAGTAGCCAGGATTACAGGCATGTGCCACTATCCCAACCCCATTGTATCTTTCTATATAAAACAATAATTTTCAAACTAACTTCTAACAACCAGAGCTGTAGTTAGAAAATAGTCATCTAGAAGATAGTGACATTACCTACTTAATAAATGACAGTACCTCAATTTTATTTTAAAAATCAAAGACAAATGAGCCAACACATACAAATTGAAATTTTGGTGTTGGTGGTGGGGGCGGTTACCAGGGATTAAACGCAAGGGCACTCAACCACTGAGCCACAGCCCCAGTCCTCTTTTATTTGGATACAGGTCTTACAGAGTTGCTTAGTACCTTGCTGTTGCTGAGGCTGGCTTTAAACTCATGATCCTCCTGCCTCAGACTCCCAAGCAGCTGAGAATACAAGCATGAACCATTGCACCCAGCCAAACTGAAAATTTTTATGAAAATCATTCTTTTGTTTGGTACCGGGGATTGAACCCAGGGGTGCTTGACCACTGAGCCACATTCCCAGCCCTTTTTAAATATTTTATTTAAAGACAGAGCCTTCTTAAGTTGCTGAGGCTGGCTTTCAACCTGCAATTCTCCTGCCTCAGCATCCTGAGCAGCTGGGATTACAGGATCCACCTGAAAATCATTCTTATGAAGTTAACCTTAGCAAAGAAAACATATAAACAATTTAAACTATTTTCTCACCAGTCCACTTTAATCTTATATAATACTCTCTCTAAATATGAAAATACATGTTTTTCTTATGGACTGAAGCACTGATCAAGTCACCCTAGTAAATTTTTATTCTAGTTTAGTATTTATAATGGACTGGTTATTTCCAGTCATAAGTGTTAAAATTTTAATTGAGTACTAGATGTTATGTGAATAATACTGACTTATTCATATTATTTACTAAAAATATTTTTCTGCTAAAACTGTAAATAACATTTCAAATTAAATTCATTATACAAAAAATAAACTGAAAAGTGATGTGAGTACTAGTTAGTTACCTAGGCACTCCACTTATAAAAAGTAATCAAGTCATATGCCTAAGAATACTTGTGCTTTCCTATGGCATATTATATCCAATAAGGTGTTTTTTTTTTTTCTTTTTAATTTTAAAATACAGATTCAGAGAAAGCTGCAATAACATGTTCTGGATATCCTTTATCCAGTTTCTTCCAATTTTTGTATCCTTCATAAATATAGGGCAATATAAGAGGAAACTAACCTTGGTACTATGCATGTATATATTTTATGCCATTAGTCACATGTAAATTGGTGAAATTACCACCACATCTGAGCTGCAGAACTATTTGTCTACATGTATGTTTATGTCTATTCATGTGTTTGTATATTTTCTACATGGTACTGACTGAAAACAGGCACTTACAAAATAAGGTCAATGGCATAACTGCACAGAAGTGACAGAAGAATTTGAATACCTATGTTTATAAACATATTATTTTTTTTAAATCTAAAAGATATATAACTAAATACTGAGAACATGATGAGATAAGGAGAATTTTTCACTTTTCTAATTATACATCTCTGCATTGTTTAGATTTTCTAAAATAATGCATTACTTTTCTTGGTATCAGGGATTAAAAACAGGGGCACTTAACCACTAAGCCACATCCCTAGCCCCTTTTTAAATTTTGAAGTAGGGTCTCACTAAGTTGTTGAGGTTGGCCACAAACTTGCAATCCTCCTTCCTCAGCCTCTTGAGTTGCTGAGATTACAGGGATGTGTCACTATGTGTGGCTAGAATGCATTGCATTTTTATAAGCAACAAAAACAATAAAGACCTTCCATTTGGGGGGCAAAGCAGCTTTCTGTAACGTAAACAATAATCTCCTACTATTCTGTTTAGAAATTTTTTTTTTCCTAAAACATATCATGGTTTTTCCTAAAACAGAAAACACACAGTCCTCTCTTTATTCCTACTGGCTCCACCACATACTAGCTGCCTTTCAAACATAATAATAACCTTTGTTTTTACATACCTGGTGGAGGGATCATCATCCTACGATCCTGTTCCCATGGAGGTGACAAGGACCCAGTGTCAGAAGGTGCTCTATGAGGATCAGTTAACCTATCATGGCTTGATTCTCCCCTTTCATTGCTAATCTGATGGTCCAGAGGATTCTCTGGGCCTCTTGAGCCTAATTAAAGGAAAAAAGCATACAAATCTGTTTTATCTTAAAAATGGCATAAGACTTATCAACAAATAAAATTAATATACTCTAAAAGGTGAATATAGATTCTAATTAAGTTTCGATAAGATTTATTTATTTATTTAATATTTATTTTTTAGTTTTCGGCGGACACAACATCTTTGTTTTTTGGTATGTGGTGCTAAGGATCGAACCCGGGACTCACGCATGCCAGGCGAGCGCGCTACCATTTGAGCCACCTCCCCAGCCCCATGATACATTTAAACTATAATTCTATCCTATCCTCATTTCTAAGACAAGATAAAAATAAATCTTTGCCCTGTGGATAAACAAACATTTGCCTATAAAATTCATTTTTAATTGTAATCATCATCATTGTTTTATCCTTAAAAATCAGTTTTTAAATCACAAATACTGAGTTTCAAATAAGGACATAGAAAATAAATTTCTATACTAGACGTAATAAGATGATTATAAATAAGAAATCTTAATAGTGAAAATGAGCAAGATTCTTTTCAGTCATCTTAGTGGCAATATACTTATTTCAATAATTTTGCCACTACTCAAAGTATTTTTTGGAACAACTCGTTTGGAAATGTACAGTACTCAGATTAACTTAAGAGCCATGCAAAAAATGGAATCTCAATTTGTAGTAGCATGACTTTCTACTTTTGCCTAAAAACAATTTTAATGAGCCTGATTACAACCTTTACAACCACCAGATAAATACAGCCATAAATGGCTTTTAAGTAATTTCTAAATATCAAATTCCCAGTCACAAAAAAGAGAACTCACAATCTCTGACGGAAATTCTAAATCAAATTACAGCATTTATGGAATAAATTCTTTAATAAACAAGATAATATTCACTTAGATAAGAAAATTCAGCACATTGATACTTCTATAAAGGGAGGAATAATTTTAGAGTTCCCGTTCCATGGTCACAGGAAGAACAGGACCTTAATTAAAATCCCACACTCAATTAAGAAGAAAAAGACATCCAATAAAAAAATTAATATCTTGTTTATCTGTCATTGAGGGAGCAAATATATTTTCCAGAACATAAAAGCTTATTATGTTCAAGAAACAGCTTTTAAAAGTCTGTTTTCAATAGAAATCTAACTAAAATACTTCTCCCATTTCAGTGACTTCCTTGAGAGGTCAAAATTAATTTGACCTCTTCTTAGTAACTTGTAAAAGAAATCAGTAGAAGAATCATTTCTTAACAAATAATGATCTTTTTTAAAACAAAAACTTCCATCTATTCTCTTTTATAGGCTCAGATCAACAGACTTTGTCAGGAGGGCAAATATCATTTTTCTTATGGTTCTATTAAATTCCCCAAATCTGTCCTCCTATTTTGTTCATTCTTCTAATTAGTTCATTAGAAGTCTAGAAAAGCCGAAAATGTTTTCAAGAGTCAGATATCCTGAGTTCATCATCTAGATCAAAGGACAAAAATTTAAAAGAGATATTCAACAACAAATTCCATTACTATGTGTAATTACAATGCACTAATAAAGAATATTATGGGGAAATAAAAAGAAATTCAAAGACTTTCTCCTTATTGCTTACTATCAGACCACAACTGATCACTAGGTAAAAATTACAAATCTGAAAATGTCAGAAGTTAAAAGTTTTTCTTTTATTATTATTAAAACCAAAAGCTATATACAATTTACTACAAAAAGAAATTATTTTCCTATATTCAATCTTATTTAAACATACATCTCATCCAAACTTTCAAATGTGAAAATATAATAAAAGGGAGGATGCTCTCTTTCCTTCCTTGGTGACTCAGAAACTTTCAGTCCAAAGCATTCTTTTAAGACCTGCTGATAACTTACCAAGAACTTCTGTAGCTTTTTAAACATAAAGTAATAAAACACCTTTGCAAACAATGCAAACACATTGTATCTTGAAAGCAATTAAATAGGAGAAGAAAGTAAAAACAGAAGAGGAAAAAAAATTAAAGGTAAATTTTATTCTCATTTCATATATGAAACTGACTACAAGCAATCCTTGACTTATATAATTTCAACTTCCAGTAATTCACATTTTCAATTTAACCAATTATACCCTGTTTCTAGGGTACTGTTTTTCAGACTTCTAGCTGCTACCTATTTGTGGTGTGTGAAGTTAATCAGCATTCATAGAATGAAACTGAATAGAAAATATCACAAATCATCAAAACTATAATGGTAAGTATAATTTCATATAACTGGTTTCAATTATATTTATGTTTGTGTGTGGTATGACATGATAAGAAAATGTATTTCTTAATATAAGTCAAATTTTTTTAAAAATGGGGTAAGGGAACACTGACTTAGGATAATAAGCCCCAAGCTTATTATCTGCTATAGCAGACCTATGAGTTTCAAAATTATATCCCTTCTTGGAGTGCTCAATGCAGAGCCCCCTGGGGTTCTTTGTATACTTCCTTTTCCCTAGGAATTTCCAGCTCAACACAAACAAAGGCTCTTTCCAAGGTGAACCCAAACCGCAAGGGTCTGGGAGGTAGAAAGGAGCAGCTCTAAGTGGAGCAAAGAGAAGATATAAGTACGAATGCCAAAGAGAGACTATCTCACAATCAAAAAGGAGAAAGTGATTTTCTTCATATTCTTTGAAAGCAATTCCTAAGAAAGAGTTCCAAAAATGTTTAGAATAATGGCAGCTTCAACAGGGAAGTTGAAGTTCCTGAGACTGTTTAGATGAGTATTATCAATTTGAATTTATGAACTTTGATACAGAGGATTTAGTCTGGTGTTTTTAAATGTAGTCTCATTATACCATGTTCCTACCTCAGATTCAGACTGTTAAAATCACTCAGAGAAAAGGTGGGAACATTTCACTAGTGAAAAATGCCATCAACTCTCATAAAATAAAGATGTAGGACTAAACACCTAAGACTTTCAATTTTAAAATAAATAAGGCTCAATATTTTTGAATCTGGGCAAAAATCAAGGAAAAACTTTAAAGCAACTTGACAAAGTGGAGAAAATATGGTGAGAGAGCGAAAAAGGAATCTCCAGGCATAGAAGTTTTCAAAGGCAGTAGGGCCTTTGAAACACCAGGGTGACACTGATGATGTAAATGCAGAAATACCAATTGTTACACTTAGGCTTGAGGTAGCCACAGAAATTCTCAAGAACAAGTAAGGGGTGGGGGGTGGGGGGCAACAAAGTAGACCACCTGGGTTGGTCTCAACAAATAATTTAGGTCTATATAAGGTTTCCTTCAAAACTCTGCCTAAAAGAGCACGACTGAATTCTTCACTTTGAGGGGAAAAAAAAGGGTTCTTCCAATTCCTGGTTTTCTACAATAAAAAGATAATGGTAATAAAGTAAAAAAAAAACTTAAAAATCCTACATTCAATAATGTTTCACCAAAATACAATTTTATGCTAGGTTATTCTGTAATTATATTTTATGCAATCTTTAAAAAGTTTTATATTATGTAGTATAACATACAGTTAAAATATGATTGCAAAAAGGTGTGCATCATGTCATTGATCAAAATGTAATCTCGTACAGGTTAAGTATCCTTTATTGAGAATAGTCAAGACCAAAATGTTTCTGGTTTTGAAGTTTTTTAAAATTTAGAGTACCTCCAGGCACTTTATTGATTGCGCATTTAAAAATCTAAAAGCAGAAATACTCCAAAATCCAAAAATTTTTGAGCACCATGCCTAAAAAGTTCTGGATTTCAGAGCACTTTGGATTTTACAACCTCTGCAACCTTATTTCTAAAGAAAATATATTAAAAATTAGATGTTGTAGAGATCTTTCCCCCCAAAAAAGCAACCCTTAGTAAGTGCAAGGAATGCTCGTATTTTCCAAGTGTGTATTTCACAGATCATTTTAAAAGTAAGTTGAGATGAAAAAATAAAGGAAGGAAGAAATATAGAGTAATAAAAATGTTTAAACAAGATACCTCTTCCTCCTCCCCCTGGAAGCAAAGGTGAGAGTCTGAGTGGACCCTCCAACAAAGTTGGAGGAGAGAGAAAAGCTCTCGTTTCAGATGAAGGTCGACCCAATGGTGAGGCACCATATGGGGAATGCTCTGGAATAATTAAAACAACATATTTAAATTCATAGCTTCAGTTAGCTACACTATAAAGTTAGATTGCCATATCAACCATTACCATCAGGTCTTCTTATTGCCAACTTAAGTTTAATCCATTGCCTTTGGTTTTGCTAAAATTAAATATGAAGGACTGTTGGTTTTAGGACTGAATTAAATATGAAGTCTGTTGGTTTTATTTTGTTTTGTTTTTGCAGTGCTGGGATGAAACCCGGGGCCTTATGTGTGGTAAATAGGAGATTTACCACTAAACTACATCCCCAGCCCTGAATTCTCATATTTTTACAGACATTTCAGTCAATAAAAATATCATCCTATAAGTGATTAATTCACTTAAATAATCATACAGTTTAAGCAAAGGATACTGGTGATATTTTGGAATTATAGGAGGATTTGGGAGACATTAAGTTTTTTGATTTGGTTTAATTTTTCATTTAGCAATAAGCATGCTTGGATAAACCTCATTGGGTACAATACCAACACTGTGCAAAGCAGTTTTGTTTTGGTATTATTGCAATATGTTTCCAGATATTTCAGCTGCAGGTGAGGGTTACAACACGGTAGCATTCACTTTAAATTAGGGCCACATAGGCTATGTTGGGTCATAAAATGTTGAATAAAGCTCAGATTCTGAAATGTAGAAAGCATATAAAACACTCTGAAGCATCAGAAATTATTTCTGATTCTGACCAGTAAAAAATCAGGTTATATACAGTATTCATCAAATAGGTCACTTTCTCTACAATCCATGTAACCAAGAGCACTAACATTTTATAAACAACCACTCTCAAGTAATGGTTATGCTTCCAGAGGTCAAAAATCAACATCAAAAAAGAAACAAATATCACCAAAATAACATTTTTTTAAAAGCAGGGTAAATTCTATAAGGTGCAGCTATTATAATATTCAAACCAGTCACAACAACAACAACAAAAAAAAAAAAAAAAAAACAAAGCATTATTTACCCTCCCTGAGACTTCTACACTGGATTTAGACAAAAATTCCTTCTATAAAGTTCCCCCACAACTCTTACTACTTTAAATTTGTAATAGTCTGATATTTTTAAAATGTAGAAATAGACTTTCACTTTAATTAAAGATGACTCTCAAAAGTGATTTTTTTTAATTTCCCAAAGATTATTAAAATGAGATTCTATCTATAAAGATTCGTTTATTTTCACTGTAACAGGAGCTTAATTAAACTAAAATTATTTTGAAAAATTTAAACGATTTGAAATAGTTTGTTATCATTGAGGATGCTAATTCAATGATGAATGAATGGACAGAAATAGTAAATACATCTTACAAAGAATTGGGGATAATTAAATTAATCAAAACTAAGATTAAGTTTTCCCCACTTTTTAATTTAATACTTTTAAATAATTAAAAAACAAACATTTTTATTCTCATTTTTATAATTCAAGAAAATTTCTAAGTACAGTTAACATGTAAACAGTCACTATGTTATTCTACTGAAGTACTTCTAATTCATTCATTCGCCCAAAAAATAGTTAGTGAGTACCATATTAATACCAAGCTCTTGGCTTTTCAAAGAATTCACAGTACTAAAAATATGTTATTTTACAAAATTCTACTAAGAAAGGGACATAGAAATAATTTTCATTACTACTAGCAAAACAAAACCCAGAAGTATGGAGTTCATAAGAGAACATAGAATAGAATCTGGCTCTAAAATCTAAAATATCTATAAATAATAGTAGTAATTTATGCTATTACAAACTATATATGCAATATATATGTAATCTATATATATTATGTATTTTAAATGAGGGGTTAAAAAAAAGGACTACCTCTGCCAAATGTTGTATTTGGAACATCAAGTGCATAAGGATCTTTTTCTAAAAGTTCAAATTTAAACTCTGTTTCAGTTAATCTGTAAATAAAGAACAAACATCTCTAAGTTAAGATGGCCAAGAGAAGCACCCACATTTCAAAAAAATTCCACTAACAAATAAAGCTACTCTTACTATCTCCATATCTGTATAGCGGAATAGGTCCTCAAAAATTATTCTGACCAAAACACCTTTCTCTCTCTCTCAATACTTATTTTCGGGTAACCAGTTTCTTGTTGCCTAAGGATAGTTAATGTTTGGAATTGTTCCATTTTTTTCCTCAAAACTAAACTTCAATGAGTAGTGTATACAGAATCCAAATTTTTCAAATGGAAAACCCCTAAGGTCAATAAGTTTATCATTTTAACTAATATAACTGAGGGTAGGAGTTTAAATGATTTGAGTTTAAATTAAGAAAATGCAGGATTAAAACCCAGCATTACTGGCTCTTCATTATGTATGCTTTCCATGGTAATGTAACTCATGATTTCAATATAACATAAAACTAGAAATCCCATTAACCCTTCTAACTCTTTTATCCTTCAACTTTTTATCTTAAAAATCTAATATTTTAAAGAAATTTTATTTCTAGTTTTTAACCATCAGACCTGAAATAAAATATTTAATTCTTTGGCTTTAATTTCTGAGAGTCGAAAATACAAGTAAGAAGACTGAAACTAATATTCAACAATGTCAATAATATAGTCTGGCAAGAAATTAGAACACTCTGAGAAGACTGATACCAGCCTCAGAGAAAAGCATTTACTCTTCCTCTGCTACATACTTTTATTCTCCCCTTCATTTTATTATTATACAACAATGTCACCTAATACAATGAAACCAGGAGACAACAAACACTTATTCTCTCTACTTAACCATAAAGAAATGCTGATACTATCAACATTACAATGTCAGAGATTCACCTTTTTCTTTTCTTCCCTTTTTACCTCACTCCACATATTCTGGTTTACCAAAAAAAAAATTTTAAGTTACACTTAGAATCTATAAACAGTTTTCCCCAAATGCTGCTTCAATGACCTTACTAAAACAAGCATTTCAACAATAACAAACAAACAAGCAAACAAAAACTAGTTACACCTAATAAAACTAATAGATATTCCATAACAGGATATGCTGAATCCATTGCAAGTTTTCTTATTTTTCCTTAAAAAAGTATTAATTAATAAAATAACTAACAACAAAAGTAATAACTAATTTTAAGTTTTTAAAGTGTTCCCACCAAAATACTTACTTTTGTCTGTTGTGAGCATTTTCTTTCCTTAAATCATTAAGGTTTCTTTCAGCTGCCCGAGCTGCCAACTTAAAGAAGTTAATACATATTAAAAATACATTAATACAAACTTCATGAAAGAATAGCATAAGTATCACAATAATGGCATAGAAATATCTCAATCTCTTAAACAAGTATCCATTTCAATAAACTCAAGGTAAAACATTTTAAATTTAGGGAATTATTTAAAAAGGGAATGTGTTTCATGTAAGCAGAAGACATGAGCCTAAGGCTGGAGTTTAATTGTGTACTTGCTAATAAGTGTAACTACCTTTATGTGAAATCATGGATTAGCATTATTTGGTGATGCAAATATCCAAATTACAGGGTAAGAATCATAGAAAAACACAAAAGCTTAGGGCAAAGGCAATGGAGACACAGGGTCACTAGGCATGGCAGCATTCTGTATCGAATAAGACAAGCATCTCTGAGGAAAAAAAATTACTGTGATTCAGTGAACTACAAAGATCTATAATAGTTTCACAGCATGACAGTTCAGGTCTTTTTTTTAAGTGGCTGAATATAATCAATGCACATTGCACATCTGTTAAGCATTGTACAGATGGCATTTTTCTAAGTCTTTTACATTTGTTTAATGATTTTTAACTTACTAAGAGGTTAAAAATCAAATATATAAATAAAAAAGTTTATGATAAATATCAAGAACATGCAGTGTTCTCAAATAGATGTGGACAAAGGCTAAACATGTATAGTATACTGCATGTTTCCCCATCATTCTGTGGACTCTTAAAATTATTATTTTTTATTTGTTTTAATTAGTTACACATGACAGTACAATGACCTTGACATATCATACATTTGAATCAGATGGGATATAATTTCTCATTTTTCTGAGTATACAGGTTGTAGAATCACATTCGTCATGCAGTCACATATATACACACAGTAATAATAATATCTGTTTCATTCTACTACCCTTCCTATCTCCCCATCTCCTCCCCTCTCCTCCCCTCCCCTCCCATCACTTCTCTCTACCTAATCTAGGGTAACACTATTTTTTTTTCCTCACATCTTTTTTATTTTTTTTTATTATTAGTTGTTCAAAACATTACAAAGCTCTTGACATATCATATTTCATACATTTGATTCAAGCGGATTATGAACTCCCATTTTTACCCCGTATACATATTGCAGATTCACATCGGTTACACATCCACTTTTTTACATACTGCTATACTAGTGTATGTTGTATTCTGCTGCCTTTCCTATCGTCTACTATCCCCCCTCCCCTCCTCTCCCCTCCCCTCCCATCTTCTCTCTCTACCCCATCTAGCCAATCCCTAAAAAACAAATGCCAAATGTCATCTTTGATATAAGGAGAGCAACTAAGAACAGAGCAGGGAGGAAGAGCATGAGAAGAAGATCACCATTAAACAGGGATGGGGTGGGGAGGGAAAGGGAGAGAGAAGGGAAATTGCATGGTAAAGGAAGGAGACCCTCATTGTTATACAAAATTACATATAAGAGGAAGTGAGGGGAAAGGGGAAAAAAAACAAGAGGACTCTGAAAATTAGATTAAACAATTTCGGAACACTGAACTGACGGCTGGACTGATCACACAAAGATAGAGAAATTAACAATCTATAACAATGATTATTTATAGGTAAAGGGAACAATGCTGTCAAATTTTCTTTCACTTAAAATTGTGAACTACACATTAGAACTCACTTTAACTGGCCAAAGAATAAATTCTGTAAATTTTTTAAAAAGCATAGCCTAAATATTTTTTATCACTATCAAAAAAGATTCCACATGTAATTTTCTTAAGTAATTATATAACCAAATTTGTACTAACAATATTACACCAATGGCAATTTTAGTGAAAGTATACCAATTAAGTTAACTATTAACAACGAAGAACCAAAATTACTTATAAATGTTTTTAAGACAATATGACATACCATTAAAAAAATATTTTTTTTTTGGCAATACTGGGAATTAAACCCAGAGGTACACTCTATCACTAAGCCACATCCTCAACTTTATTTATTTATTTTAGAGACAGGGTCTTGCTAAATTACCTATTTTTCATAATATATCTTTATGTTGATAGCTTATTTCCTAAGAGTTTTTGTGTCTTGTACTTAAGAACTAATATATTAAGAGCCTGGCATGGTGGCACATGCTTATAATCCAAATAACTTGGAGACTAAGGCAGAAGGATAGAAAGTTTGAGGTTGACCTGGGCAACTTAATGAGACACTTTCTTAAAATAAAAAATAAAAATGGCTGAGAATGTAGAGCAATGGTAGAGGGCTCTTGGGCTCAAAGGCCAGTAGTGGAGGTGGGATGGGGGTGGGGAGAAGATGGCAAAATGATTACAGACTTTTGAAAAGCTTATAGCTTCAAAGATTAGGTAAAAGTGTTTCATGAATGATCAGACATTGATCTAAAACGCTATATTCAAATACTGAATACTTATACTTTTAGGTACAGCTATCTTAGAAAAAGAAACAATCCCTGACTTATGGAGTTTAAATCTTATGGTATAAACAAATATAAATGACTACAGCAAATAATAACAAGATACCTGACACAGGATATACAAAAACAAAGAACTACCTGAGATCAAAGGAAAAACAAATTAAATCGAACAGGATGAAGCAAAGAAATGCTTAGTGAAGAAAGTAATATCTGAAATGATAATCATAAAAAGTAGAAAAAAACTAAAGGTTCATCAAATGAGAAAAGTTTTATAAATTATGAAACATTCATAGAAATATATCAATGACATTAAGAAAGCAATTTATATATGATATGTCAAGAGCTTTGTAATGTTTTGAACCAATAAAGAAAATAAAAAGAAAAAAAGAAAGCAATTTATAAATAGTAAGATATAATAGGATTTCTTAATTTCTTCTTTCTTTTTTTAATTCATGCTTTTATGTTTAAATGCATTAAAAGAATAGATAAATGAAAGCAATATTAATGATTACTTCCTTGTACCTCTCCATATGGTCTGAACTTTTAATATAATTTTACAAATGGTGAAATTCATAGAAAATGATTTTTTTAAATACTATATTTTCACTTAATTTAAATGAGTAGTATATCATCTGAAAGGAATTTGACAAAAAAGCCTTAGGGAAATTTAAAACTTACCCAATTATCATGTGCTTTTTTCTCATGGGAAATAATCTGAAAAAGAAAGTCATTAAAATATTGACAACTTTTTTCTTAAATAAAAACCATTCAGATCTTCCACTATGATTTAGTGCACAACTCAAAATACCTCAGCATCTCAGAAAAGTAAGCAAGCAACATTTTTAAAACAAATTTTTATGTAAACATGACCTAATCTAGCATACTTTTTAAAATTTATTTGTATTGGTGTAAACAGTGGACTTCATTATGCCATATTTATACAGGCACATAACATAATTTGCTCAATCTCCTTCCCCAGTACCTTCCATTTTCCTCCCCTTCTCTCTCCCCCATCTAATTGCTCTATTCCACTGATCTTCCTTCTATGATTATCATTATTATTATTATTAATTAGTGCATTATCGTTATATACATATATGATATATATGTATGTATACACAGGATTCATTGTAGAATATTTGTACATGGACATAGCATGATTTTGTATAATCTATCATACTTTTAAAATGAAAACCAAATAGCAAATATCTCTTTATGTAATAATTAACTATAAGAGTTTCCAGTTAACAGACAACTAATCTGTCTGAATTCGAGAGCGCAAAGCTGATAGATGCTTATTTATGCAACATTCCCAAAGAAGCAGAAAACTTTAAATAAGATTTTTTATCTTAGAATCTTTAGCTCCCTGGAAATGTTCCACAGCTACATACAATACCTCAAGGGAGGTATGCAACTGGCCAAGTAATTATATTTCTGTATCAATTCAAACAAATCAGAATGGTTTTAATTATATAAACACAAACACATGCACAGAGACACATATAGGCACACATTATTACATACATACATACATACATACCTGCCCCTGATAAGAATGAATGGTTCTCTCCAATTCTTCCTCAAGATCTTTGGCTCGCTTTCTACAAGAAACAAATAATTATTTTACTACAGTATTAATAATAGAAGAAATGAGAGCACAAACTCTCTACTAAAAAATATTAAAACACCCAGACTGCTCTATTTTGTGTAAAATACTTCTAGAACTCCACATAAAGAAATAATCACCTTTAAGAGATTCTAAAGTTTTTTTTTTCCTGATATAATTTTAACCTTATTTAAGCTTTAAGGGTACTACTCTTTGTGTTTATCCAAAGCAAAAGTCATGCAAAGATTTATACAGTTTATTGGTTGTTTTATTTTCAAGAACCATGATCCTGGGAGATTGAATCAGATGTCTGTAATCTTAATAAAACTCTAGGAAATTAACCGCCTTTGCACAGTAGAATGCTACTTGTAGCTTTATAAGACTAATAAGGAAATTCCTTCTTTGGGTAAAACCCAAGCCTACTCTTCTTAAGGGACAATGAAATATCACAACTATTTGGGATAGCTGATATACCTTCCCTCTTTTTTCCTCTATGTTTTCTATTAATTCCTTGGATCAGTGAGGACTGAACCAAGTTAACAACTAGACGTTTAGTCTTACACACACTTACAATACACTAATTGTGTTTGTTTCTTTTTGAGCATGCTTGCTGAATTCATTAATATTGTATATATTGTTCCCCACTTGAACCAAAGAAGATCTTAAAACTAATGTCTATCCATAAATTTCTTCAAACAACAGAAAACAGGATTTGCCCATATTCAAATATGAGATTTTAAAATCACACACCCTAAAAAGAAAACATTTTTCCTTCCTTTTACATTTTTTCTATAAATGAATAATAGCAATAAATCTGAATAAAAAGTAATAAGGTAAAATTTTATCATTTATTTTTGGTTGCTTTAGTATTTTTTTCTAATACTGAATTTTAAGATACCCTCCCCACCTCAAAGAGTATTTTAATACCTATAGGTCTCCAGTTCTTCAGCTGCACGGCTGATCTTTTCATCCACTTTGGAAAGCTTCTCCTCTTTCTCTAACCGGTAATTTTCCTCTACTGTTAATTTCCTTAAAACAAAATGTTTTATTTCTATTAATACTGTCATATAATAATCAATTACAATTACATATCTTTTATTATATCAAAACTAGTGCTTCCCATAAAGCAATTTCCATAATACCATTACAGTATAAATATTTCTTGGGTGAAATTAAATCATATAAACTGAAAACTGTATTGTGTCTTATACTGTAGTACTAACAATAGTCTCAGGAGTTTCTACATTAATTTATTATAAACGTAAATTACCCAAGATAAATATTAAAAACTTTTTTAACCATTGTGACTATGTGTCAGTTATTCTGCCTTCATGAATAATATATACACATTTGTTAGATAAAGAGGCACCAACTAATAAACTGTGTTTTAGTAACTTCCTAATATGGTGGTTAAATTACATAGTAGGTTTCTAGACCAAGTTGATAATAGTAATGATAATAAAATAATATTAGTAGTAATACTAGTTCTACTTAGTACTCTTAGTTCGTTAATACTGATATAATAGATAACTTATTAAGCCATTAGTATGAACTAGAAACTTCTTAGGCCTTTGTTAATTACTACCCTTCAGCTCTACAAGAAGGGTATTATCGTTATTTCTATTTTACATAAATGAAAATGAAGCACAGAAAAACTAAATTCAATCATGTCTTACTTAACAGTAGGGATACATCCTGAGAAATGCCTCATTAGGCAATTTATCACTATGTTTACATCAGAATATACTTGTATAAACTAGGAACTCTAAGATATCAGAAAGTGACAAAAATCTTATGAGAAGCTAGGATTGTAGCTCAGTGGTAGAGCACTTGTCTCACATGTGTGAGGCACTGGGTTCAATTCTCAGCACCACATATAAATAAATGAATAAAATAAAGGTCCATCAACAACTAAAAAAATATTAAAAAAAAAAAAGTCTTATGAGACCACTTACCATAAATATAGTTCAACCACAACATGTCATTATATGGCATGTCACTTTAATAGGGCTCAAAGCTCCCAAGCAGTAACTCTTTATAATACATTATCCATATTGTTTTATATACTATCATTAATAACATCAGTCTCTCAAGAAATATTTATTGAGCCAGGTACAGTGGTACATGCCTCAAATCCCAGCAACTCAGGAGACTGAGGCAGGAGGATCACAAGTTCAAGGCCAGTGTCAGCAATTTAGCAAGGTCCTAAGCAACTTAGTGAGACCCTGTCTCAAAATAAAAAATTAAAAAAGGCTAGGATGTAGCTCAATGGTAAGATACCCCTGGGCTCGATCCATGGCACCAAAAAAAAAGAAAGTAATATGTATTGAGTCCTATAGGAAAACACATATGGAATCCTCTGTGGGTATCTTCTTCTCCTTTATGAACTTCTAGAAATACTACAGAGCACAAGTAAATGTTTTATATTCTACACACTAAATACCTATTGCTTAGAAAGCACTCCCCTAAGCCACTAGGCAAATGACACTGCTGCCATTTACTTAAAAAAAAAAAAAGAACACTTGGACAGGAACAATTTATATAAGAGAAAGGTATATTTTACATATATCAGAAGAAATGGTCATTCTTTTATTATGTGTGTGGTGCTGGGGATTGAACCCGATCCTTGTGAATGCAAGGCGAGCACTCTTCCAACTGAGCTATATCCCCAGCCCTTGCATATATCAGAGAGGCAATCAAAAGTATTCAATCAGATTCCCTGGCCTGGCCTGCCAGTATTAGAAATTTTAAGGCAATAATGCGTTGACTATTTACTGTAAGTTACAAGAGGACTTTGTGAACTAGCTTGGAAGTTCCAACATCATTTATATTTTCTTCCTTGAAGAAAAAATGCTTCAAGATCAAATAATTTTCTTTAAAACGAACTTATGAAATATAATCCAGTCATAAACTGAGAAATTTCAATGATTATAGATCTTAAATATATTACATAATACTTTTAAAGCTATTATACTTCCATTCAATGGAGTTATCAAATAATTTTTATTACCTGTGGAGTTTCATTTCATTTTCTTGATATAGTTCAGTCATTACTTTAAGTTTCTGCTGAAGCTTCTGATTCTCACTTTCAAACTGTGTATATTCTGACTGCAAAGATGCTTGCTCAGTCTGAAGATTTTTAATATGTTCTAAAGAAATTTTTGAAAAGTTGTAATTAAAGGAGTACAGATTTTGAGTTATACAAAAACATTTCAGAAAAATAAAATTATTAAAAATAATAAACTCAATCATAAACTCTCTTCAACAACAAAATCTGTAAGGTATTCTGTATATCTGAATTCTTTTTACTACTTTAATTAAAAAGCCAAATACATTGTTTTCAATTTTTTTAATTATTATTATTTATAAGATTCCCAAAACATTCAACATTCTAATTCCAGCAATCAATTTTCAACCTGGAAGCTAAAAGTCAGTGAATTCTTAGGAAGACTGTAAAGGTGAGTGTTTTAAAGGCAGATAATTTAGTTCAATATTCTCTACTTTCACATGATAAATGGACTGCTTTTACTAAATGAAAACTTTATTTCTCAATAATATTAAGTTCTATCCAGCCCTTTTTTCTAAGCCAATTTTGCACATGTATTACAAGTGAAAATTAAGGATCTTCTCATAACAAATACACAAATGTCCTCTAACTTAAATGAGAAAAAAATTAGAGCGAAAAATACCAACTTTATCATTGTTTCAACTGCTAAATTACCTAAGAGTCATCTACAAAAATGAAAATTAATAATTTTAAATAATTATGAATTATTTCTAAGTAGTATACCAATTGTTTTTTAAAACCTCATTTATCTTCAATAATTACCTCAACTCTAAACTCTATAATTAAGGTACCACTATAATAATCTCAATTCTGAACTCTGTTAAGGTTAAGGTATCATTTCCCAAAAGCTATGTATGAATCACAATCACGAGTCTTACTATAAGAAAAAAACTCACTGTGCTTCAAGAGTGTAGTTTCAAAATCATTAACAATAATGAAAATGCTATGACTACTTGTAATTATATACAACTATTCTAAAACACCCATTAAGTAAACATATACACCAAAAGAATAGTTTAAGTAAATATGTTAACATTAAATGATTAAATGCTTAGAAAACTGTGTACATCTGTCTTTCTGCAGAAATTTTAAAATCTACATCAGAAAAATATTTGATCTAGGCTTTAAGCCACTGCTAAGAAAAGTCACTTAACAAAGAAATCTGTGTTGAGTGTTCTTGCAACAAAAACTGAATTTTACCTATTGTTTACCTATTGTTTAAAAACAAAGCCAAACACTATAAACAACACTTAAATCTTTATTATCCTTTTGTACTTAGCTATTTTGTTTTAAATTTTTATAGCTTAAAAGGACACTGTAAATGACTACCAAAAAAAGGGAGAGATGGGTAAACCATTTACTTAAAGAAAACATGTATACTATAAGTAGAATATCATTATCAAAAATTTTTTTTCAAACCCATTAAAAAAGAAATTTAGATTTGGAATAAAAGTACAAGCAGATAGATTCTCTAATATTCATTTGAGAAAAAAATTAAAGATTTGTTAAGAAATTATATGAAGAGGGGAGTTTTCAACATGATAGATCAGAGAAGGTCACTTTCCTGACTGCTCTGTGGTGTGAAACAAAGAAAGCAGATGGGCAGCTTCTTAGCAAGGTGGGTAAACAAAAAAGAAAGGAGGCTGGGCACGGTGGTACACACTTGTAATCCCAGCATCTTGGGAGGCTGAGGCAGGAGGATCACAAGTTCAAAGCCAGCCTCAGCAAAAGTGAGGCACTAAGCAATTCATTGAGACCCTATCTCTAGATAAAATGCAAAATAGGGGTTGGGGATGTGGCTCAGTGGTTGAGTGCCCTGAGTTCAATCCCTGGTACTCCGTCACAAAAAAAAAGAAAAAGAAAAAAAGAAAGAGAAAGTGGGGGACTTTCCTGGAATTAATACTGGACATTCAAAGCAGATCAGGGATTCATAAGGTTGGATATAATAAAATAAAGAAGAAATCCCCGGTGCCACAGCTTCTGCTAAAGCCAGAGTCACCAGCCAGAATGGTCCTTCCATGAACAAAACGGGAGGCCAGATGCTTGTCTGGGTACAGTTTAGAGATCAAAGACACTGCCAGATTGAACACAAACACACTGCACAATTCCTAGGGCAGGAAGGAAGTCCCACCTTTCCAAGATGCATGCAGAGGACAGAGGGAGGAACCATTTTGCAGCCAGCGTGAGGGCCAGCAGCTAAAGGAGCCAATTCCTGGCAAACCCAAGTCTAGCCTGAAATACAGGTCTGGCAAACCCACACTGCATGATATCAAGAGTGTGCCTAAATGACCAAGAAAAAATCAAATGTGGAAAGAAGTTTACACAGGGGAAAACTGAGCACAGAAACCCAGCAGGTTCTCTCCTTACTTTTCCAAAAGAGCTACTTGTAGGACATCAAGCTAGGAGAGATGCTCCTGGCTAGGAATTCAAAAGGATGGGGGTGGGAGAGATTGAGTTTGGAGACTGAAACCAAGATCAGGAAATGGTGATCTAGGTGACACTAGACTAAGAATTGGCTCTTCCACATAAGTGGAACCCAGGGAAGATAATTGGGGAGCAGTCTTCTAATGTGGACCAGCAATTGCTGGGCAATGGAGGAGTGTGGATTTAAAATCTCCAGACCAACTGACACTCAGCAAAGAGCCTGATACCTTTGCCTATAGGTTTGCCTAGAGATTACATCTTTCACCCTAGCAACCCCACCCTGAGAGATGAGCAACATCATACTCCAGATGACCCCACCTAACACTTCTGAGAATGGAAGCTGAGACTCTTGAACTCCAATTGAAACAATTCTTTAACTTTTCATCAAGATTATTTGTTTTCCTTTTTTCTTTTCACTATTTGACTGTGACCTTAATGGTTCATGGGCATTTATACATACTCATATTTGTTTTTCACATTCCTGGCATTTCTTAAGCCAGTTATTTTTCATCGATCAGTTTTTCAAGGGCTAGGATATTTGATTAGTATATTTCCATTTGTTTTGTATTATTTTATCTTTTAATTTTTAAAATTTTTACTTTATATATTTTATTCTCTCACTTATTTGTTTTCCTGGATTCTCTTTCTCTCTTTTCTTCCGCTAACAGTCAATCTTTATTGTTGTTTCACTCTTTCTTTCAATTTTTACTTGTATCTTCTCTGCTCTTCCCTCATAATCATCACATCCTGCGTCACTTCTGTTCTCTTCCTGTCCACCATTTAAAACTGTAAACCCTTTTGCGAACTTACTACTTTTATTATATGTAATAACTGATCATATCATTTCTGTTTATTGTGACAATTAACATTATAGACATCATAGAAGGAACTATTGGGCTCAATGCTGCATATTGTTTCAGTTGGTTGTTGTTAACTATGTCTTCCCCCCTAAATGGTGAGGTACTATAAAACCTTCAGGGGCAATATAAGTACACAAGGTATAATCTCTACTGCCCCAGATCCATAGTGTTCCATGGGTAGACACACAAACAACAAGAAAAAGCAAGGGAACAAATCGACCCAAATCAACCAAGACATTTCAATAACAATCCATCAACACCACAGTAGAAGAAATCTCAGAGGAGTTTAGAATGATCATAGTTAAACTGATTTGCAAGGTAAAGGATGATGTAAGGAGTGAAATCAGAAAGAAAATAAAGGAAGTGAAAGATCACTTCAATAACAAGATAGAGAGTCTAAAAAAAAAAAAATCAAGCAGAAATCCTTGAAATGAAAGAATCAATAAACCAAATTTAAAATTCAATGGAAAGTATTAGCAACAGACTAGACCACTTGGAAGGCAGAATTCCAGGCAATGAAGACAAAATATATAATCTTGAAAATAAATTGGACCATGGAGAAAAGATGTTAAGAGACCATTAACAGAACTTCCAAAACATATGGGATAATATGAAAAGACCAAATTTAAGATTTATCGGGATAGATGAAGTCTCAATGATACAAATCAAAGGAATGCACAATCTTTTCAATGAAATAATATCAGAAAACTTCCCAAACCTAAAAAACGAAATGAAAATAAATTAAAGGGATACGAATAGGAAAAGAAGAACTCAAACTATCCCTATTTACCAATGATATAATGCTATATTTAGAAGACCCAAAAAACTCCACCAGAAAACTTCTGGAACTCATAAATGCATTCAGCAAAGTAGCAGAATATAAAATTAACACCCATAAATCAATTGCATTCCTGTACATCAGTTATGAATCAACTGAGAATTTAGAAAAATTATCCATTTACAATAGCCTCAAAAAAAACATAAAATACTTGGGAATCAATCTAACAAAAGAGGTTAAAGACCCTATGCAATGAAAATTACAAAACACTAAAGAAAGAAATCAAAGAACACCTTAAAAAATTGAAAAATCTCTCAGGCTCCTGAATAGGCAGAATTAATATTGACAAAATGGTAATACTACCAAAAGTGCTATACAGATTTAAAGCAATTCCTATTAAAATTACAATGAAATTCTTCACAGAAACAGAAAATTCATTTGGAAAAATAGGAGGTCCAAAATAACCAAAGCAACCCTCAGCGAGGAAAGTAAAGCAGGAGACATCACAATACTAGACCTTAAATTATACTACAGAGCTAGAGTAACAAAAACAGCATGACATTGGCACCAAAACAGACTGGAAGACCAATGGTACACAATAGAGGACACAGAGACTAACCCACAAAATTAAAATTATCTTATATTAGACAAAAGTGCCAAGAACATGCATTGGAGAAAAAGACAGCATCTTCAACAAATGGTGCTGGGAAAACTGGAAATCCATATGCCACAAAATGAAATTAAACCCCTATCTCTCACCATGCACAAAACTCAACTCAAAGTGAATCAAGGACCTAGGAATTAAACCAGAGACCCTGCGTCTAATAGAAAAAAAAGTAGGCCTTAATTTTCATCATGTGGGATTAGGCCCCAACTTCCTTAGTAAGATTCCTATAGCACAAGAATTAAAATCAAGAATAAATAAATGGGATGGAATCAAATTAAAAAGTTTCTTCTCAGCAAAAGAAACAATCGGTGAGGTGAACAGAGAGCCTATTCCCTGGGAGCAAACTTTTACCCCTCACACATCAGAGCACTAATCTCTAGGGTATAAAAGAACTAAAAAAAAACTAAACACCAAAAAAACAAATAACCCAATCAATAAATGGGCCAAGGACCTGAATAAACACTTCACAAAAGATGATATACAATCAATCAACAAATATATGAAAAAATGTTCATCATCGCTAGCAATTAGAGAAATGCAAATCAAAACTACTTTAAGATTTCATCTCACTCCTGTCAGAATGGCAGCTATTATGAAGACAAACAACAATAAGTGTCGGTGAGGATGTGGCGAAAAGGTACACTCATACATTGCTGGTGGGACTGCAAACTGGTGCAGCCAACATGGAAAGCAGTATGGAGATTCCTTGAAAAACTGGAAATGGAACCACCATTTGACCCAGCTATCCCTCTATTCAGTCTATACCCAAAGGTCTTAAAAACAGCAACTATAGGGACACAGCCACATCAATGTTTATAGCAGCACAATTCACAATAGCTAAACTGTGGAACCAACACAGATGCCCTTCAGTAGATGAATGGATAAAAAATATATGGCATATATACACAATGGAGTATTACTCATCAATAAAAGAAAATAAAATCATGGCAATTGCTGATAAATGGATGGAGTCAGAGAAAATAATGCTAAGTGAAGTCAGCCAATCCCAAAAAACCAAATACCGAATGTTTTCGCTGATATAAGGAGACTGATTCATAGCGAAGTAAGGAGGGGGAGAATAGGAGGAACAGACAAACTCTAGATAGGGCAGAAGAATGGGAGGGGAACAGAGGGGGCAGGGGGTTAGCAATGATGGAATGTGAATGACATCATTATTGAAATAAAATGTATAAAGATATGAATTGGTATGAATATGCTTTATATATATAACCAGAGATATGAAAAACTGTACTCTGTATGTGTAATATGAGTTGTAATGCATTCCACTGTCATTTATTTTTAAAAAATCAATAAAAAATTAAAAATAAATAAACACATGGTAATTTTTTGATTTTTTTTACAAAATGAGATGCTAACTTAATCTTTTTTCGAACACAACTAAAAGAACTTGTTTACTTTTTTAAAATACAAATACTATCAACAAAATAAGTAGAAAGGTTTTCTCTTTTATTGTTTTTGTTTTTGACACAGGGTCTCTTTTATTTTTGCTCAGGCTAGCCTTAGACTCACACAATTCTCCTGCCTCAGTCTTCCGAGCAGCTGAGATTACAGGGATATTCCACTGTGCTGAGCTCAATGAAAAGAAAAACTTCACTTCTACCAGTATAACATCAATCCTATATGTGCTAATAAACTATGTATATATATTAAAGAAGCAAACCATACTGCTACTAGTATCACTACTCAAGATCAATTCTGCAATTAATAAAAGTTTTAAATTTCCTATTCCTGGGCTAGGGTTGTGGCTCAGTGGTAGAGTGCTTGCCTAGAACGTGTGAGGCCCTGGGTTCAATTCTCAGTACCGCATATAAATAAATAAATGTAAAGATCTAAAAAAAATTCCTATTCCTTATTTATTAACATCTAAAACTATACCAACCATAAAATAATACTTTAACTCATGGTTTCACATGTTTTTAAAAACTATTTCATTATTTTAATTTCAGTTAAATGTAAAAGAAACAGAAGACTTAACCAACAACAAATACCAAGACTAATTTTTCACAAATAGCCAACAAAAGCAAAAGTAAAAAAGAAAAAGAAAAATAATGAAATTGAATCTTTCTAAAATTGACTGAATAAATGTATTCTCTATAAGGGAATGTATTAAAAACTGTTAAGTATATAGCTTACTTACCTGTAAGGTCTTCCTTTGTTTTATCTACTTCAGATAATTGAGTATAAATTTGATTTCTTTCTCCTTCTAAGGTTTTTAAGGAGGCATTTAACTTTAAATAATAAAAAAAGAAAAAAGCAACATCAATCAGTTATACAACATACACACACACACACACACACACACACACACACACACAACCTCAATATGCCACCCACAGCCTTTCTGCAGCTATTTTATCACTTTGATGAAATTATCACTTAGAAATTAACAATGCAGCTTCCATCATAGAAAGCTAGCAAAATCACGAGTAGTTCAGTTTCAGGACAGGGATACAGAAAAGCAGTGAATGCTTTGATTAAAGCAGTCTTCAAACTACATTACCAAGACTTTATATTCATCATCCAAGACCAGGATACTACTTCTAGGACAGAAAATAGAAGGAATAAACCGGAAGAAACTGAACCTAGCCTTTACTTCTCAAAATAAGATACAGAGCTATAGGGCTAGAAAATAATAAGACCGGAGAAAAAGAATGCACCAAAGGAAGTATGAGATAAAATAAACATTTTAAATATATTCCTTCTCTGAAGAAGTAAGTACAGAACTTGAAAACTTTTGTTTTAACAAATTCTAAAAATTAACTATGAATTTCATTAAAAAAAAAAAACGAAAAAGAAAATTTTGATCATTTCTTAAATACACTTACACAGGAACAATAAAATGGACTTTTAAAATAGTCACTAAGGACATACGGGTTTAATCTATGTTCTCTCTCTTGTACCATATTCATTATATTTACACATTATATATTACATATTATATATTTGCAAACCTTAGCAGCATAAACCACTTTCTTCAAAGCTCCTTTTGGCTGATTATCTATAGTGAAAAACAAAAACATGATTATTTGGGAAAATAATCTACATAATTAGATTAATTATTGTAGCATAATACTACAGTAGACACCTGCAATATCTCTTCTTGCTACATACAATAAAGAATTTGGTATAAGGCAGAACAACCTTGGACCTGCTCCCAGGAAGCTAAACAATAAAAGCACTGGAAGTACCACATCATTTATGATGTTCTTCAACATTAATTAAAAGAACAGAGGTATAATAAGGATTAAGCATTCACCTTAATACAGATCACAGACTTCCCAACTATTCTTGGATTCCTACAGCACCCAAAATATGAGAACTATAACCCAAATGAAAAATACATTAGGGGCTGGGATGTGGCTCAAGCCGTATCGCGCTCGCCTGGCATGCATGCGGCCCAGGTTCGATCCTCAGCACCACATACAAACAAAGATGTTGTGTCCGCCGAAAACTAATAAATAAGTATTAAAAAAAAATACATTAAATAAGCATGGGTTCTCTCTATTAGCAAAATAATTATTTCTTAGATGATAAAGTACAAACAAAAAAAAACACAAATAGAACTTTATTACAGTCCATAGAACTTTATTACAGTCCATCTTATCTGTGGTTGTACTTTCTGTGATTTTCATGGTTTCATAAACAATTACAAAATATTAAATGGAAATTCCATGAACATACAATTCACAAGTTTTAAGCTGCATGCCATCCTGAGTAATATGATAAAATCTCATACTGTCCTACTCCTTTCTGCTTGAGATAAGAGTATTCATGCTGTATATGCCATCTCAATACCTGGACAACCTACTACAGAATCATAAGTGAAAGAAACCACCTTCACATAACTTTTACTATGTGAATTATATGAACTTTCATAATTATTCTATTATTGCTAATTGTGTCTCTTACTATGCATAATTTATAAATTAAAAATTCTGTCATAGGGGCTGGGGTTGTGACTCAGAGGTTAGAGCGCTCCCCTACCATGCGTGAGGCACTGGGTTCGATCCTTAACACCACATAAAAGTAAAATAAAGATATTGTGTTCACCTATAACTAAAAAAAATAAATATTTACAAAAAAAATTCTGCCATAGGCATGTAGATACAGGAGAAAAAATATATACAGGATTCAGTACTAACTGTTTTCTCAGTCATCTACTGAGGGCTTAAAAAGTTATCTCCAATGGATAGGGAGGACTATTGTATATATTCACTTTGGAAGTGTAATTTTCTTCCAAAATATTAATAGTATCATGAAAGAAAACTTTTTTAAAAATTACGTATTCTTCAACAAATTAATTATGCAGTAGTAGGTCAGAGAAGAGAGAAGAGAAAAAGAATATATAAGTTAGAACTAGCATTGAAGGATGCCAAGCACTATGGAGACACCGATAATCTCAATGACTTGGGAAGCTAAGGCAGAAGGATGAAAAGTTCAAAGCCACCTTCAACAACTTAGGAAGGCCCTGACTCAAAATAAAACACAAAAAGCTCTGGGGATGTGGCTCAGTGGTTAAGCGCTCCTGGGTTCAATCTCTGGTATCCAAAAAAAAGAACTACCAGTGGAGCAAACCAAGTAAAGGGTACATGGAATCACTCTGTATTATATCTACAACTTTCTATGGTTCTGATAGACCCAACCTGATCTTTTCTTAAAATTGGGAGCAATCTCGCCACAAAGCCATGAAAAGATAATTTCAGCTTTACTATAAATTACTGCAAATTCTGAACCTGCTTGGAATGCCTGCCCGTGCCTTGAACTCACCCATGCCTGGCTCTCTGACCAGAGAGCAGTCCTCTCTGAAACTTAGTGATACCTCATAAATATTGGCCTTCCCTGGCCAGACAACGACCCTCTCTGAGGCTCTAAAGGTCCTCATAAATTCTGATGTTGGGGCCAGCAAAAAATGTAAACTGCCATTAGTGTGATGCTTGTCAGAGTTCTGTTATCTGTAACCCCCCTTTGTGTAACTTTCTGGGCTATAAAGCTGGGCTGCAGGAAAGCTGGGATGCTGTCTTGTTCCCACCGTTTTGGGAGGGAGAGGCAGCCTGGCCGGTTGAAATAATAAGCTTGTTTTAATTTGATTTTAATTGGAGTCAGTGGTCTTTTCTTGCATCCTGGTCTAACAGTTCCACAATTATTTCAAAATAAAAGTTGTTTTTTAACCAGTCCAAGGAATTAGTTTGAGAATACAGTGAGTGGCTATAGTGAGGGAATGATAAAAACAATTTGAAGCCAGGTGCCAGGTACGGTGGGGTGGCACACTCCTGTAATCCCAGTGGCTTGGGAGAATGAGACAGGAAGATCACGAGTTCAAGGCCAGCCTCAGCAAAAGCAAGACATTAAGCAACCCAGTGAGACCCTGTCTCTAAATAAAATACAAAATAGGGCTGGGGATGTGGCTCAGTGGCCGAATGCCCCTGAGTTCAATCTCCAGTACCCAAAAACAAAACAAAAATTTGAGATGGCCAAGATCCAAGTACTATAATCATCTGATAAAAACAAAACACAAAAAAGTATCATGAATTATTTTTTTATATAACACTCAGTTTTTAAACCAGTCACCCATCCACGTAATTAACTTAAGAGTACTGAGAAAAACAAACAATAAAATGTTTGATGCAATTCTGAAAATTATTATGATGACAACAAATATAATACATAAAGAGAACAGATATAAAGGAGCTGTGTGAGTCCATTTGTGGGGCTGAAGAAGTATTTACTGGATTAGGTGAAGCTAAACCACATGGGATGGTGAGAGAATGACACAGTGTTTCAGACAGACAAAGAGAATATACCAAAGTACAAGTGTGTAAAGAACATAGTGCATATGAGGAACAAAAAGGAAATAGAAGAGCTAGTCACCATTTTAGCAAAAGAAGATGAGTCATGACTTAATACCTAAGTAAGCACCAACTTCTGATTCACTGTTCATTTCCAATTCCAAGTTACCATCATCTGTTAGGTCTTCTCCAAGCACAGCACCCCAGTCTTCCATCTTTAGCAAGCATTCAATCAGAGACTTGACATTTAGCAAAGGGAAAAAATAAAAGAGAAAGGTAATGCCTTATGCTAATGGCTTTACAACTTATGAATGTACAGTAGTAGTTGAAAAATCAATACATATAAATAACAGCACATGAGCTCTTATTTTCTACCTGTTATTAAGATATGTAAATAGTGTTTTAAACTATAGCGTTTACTGACTGTTAAACTCTGTAAAAGGAAAACCAAAATTAGTTATTCCTAAATCAAATATAACATTTGATAATGGCCCATTCTTGCTAAATAAATAACTACAGAGCAATGAATCATTTTCTTATACGACATTTTTCACATACCACAAATAAGAGTGGCCATTAATACAGGAGTAAATTTTATGTGTTACCAAATTTGCAAGTGAGACATACAATACACAAAAAGATCATAGATTTCCACTTGATTTATTTAAGTAAACAACCACCTGAGGAGTTCAACTGAAATTTTAAAAAGATAAAAAGGAGAATTTATATGAGAACACTCAAAAGTTTTCTAAGAGTACTTTAATTTTCTTGAACAAAGAAAGGTTTTCTAACACTACAGATAATCAAATGACTGTGCCTAGTATTTCTCTGGAAAAGCCCACCTAAAATCTACTCTGCTCTAAAATTTTCACCCTATAAACTCTTTAAGTACATTAAGTTTAGGGGGAAAATATTAGTAGAGTCATCTCTCCATATCCAAACGGGTCTGGTTCAAGGACACACTCAATCCAGATACCAAAATTCATACACACTTAAGTCCCTTATATAAAATGGCAAAGAATTTGCATATAACCTATGTACATCTGCCTGTATACTTTTTTTGAGGGGTTGGGAGTGCTGGGAATTAAACCCAGAGGTGATTTCTTACCATTGAGCTACATTTCCAGCCCCTTCTATTTTAAGACAGTCTAAGTTGTTTACTTCCTCACTAAATTGCTGAGGTTGGCCTTGAATTTGCAATCCTCCTGCCTCAGCCTCACACGCCTCTGTGATTGAAGGTGTGTACCACCACGCTCAGCTGCCTGTATACTTTCAAGCATCTCTATATTATTTATAACACCTAATACAATGCAAGTGCTATATAAATAGTTGTTACACTATACTGTTTAGGGAATAATGACAAGGAAAAATTTGTATATTATTCAGTACAGATACTGTTTTTTAATGTTTTTAATCTGTAATTTTTTCAGTCTACAGATGTGACACCCACAGACACGTGGGCCAACTATATACCAAATTAAGAATAAAACTCCAAAATCAGAATCTAAAAATTCTTAGTAGCAACATAAATATCATAAATGTATAGCTTTCATTACGACAACATCCATTTTACTATGCAAATTATAAAATGGTCAGTTTTACATTTCATTTCTTGATATTCACACTTGAAAATTTGTTTATAGATTGAAAACATAAGATTTAAAAGAATATACACAGGGGAAAGGGGTTAGCAGTAGGGAGAACAAGGAATAAGAAAAAGTCAACAGAGTAATATCAATTACTTTATTACTATGATTAGAGTCAAGTTGAAAGTAAATCTACTCTTTAAAAATTCTTCATCTCTGTAAAAGTACAAAACACCAGTAAGTATTCAAGGTACACAAGCAATAAAAAAAAAAAAAAATTAACTATCTGCCTAATTTCTCAAACTCTAACATCTTACCATCAAAAGCAGATGGAAGCCTAGAAAGGCAAAAAACATTATTCTTTTTCTTTATGAAATACTTATGCTAAAATACTGCAGAGACAAAAGGAAAAAAAGGACATACAGACATATATGTTGATATATATTACAAAGATCTTCAAATAGCATTTTGAAATCTGGCCAAATACATAATCAAAAGTGGCTAAAAACAAAAGTTTTCAAATTTCAGAGTTAGTATAAAAGTCTAGCCAGCTCAGTCACTAAAATTGATGAGAGCCATTTACCTTAATGTGATTTTCTTTATCATTTAGAACTTGTTCTGCATGTACTTTAGATTCTTCAAATGTAATTTTCTGTTTATTAAGGTCACTCACTTGTTCTTTCCACACTTCAGCTTCTTGCAAAAGCTGAAATTGAAAAAAACAACAGAGAAATGCAACTTCACCTCATCATGCTTATGGGTAGATGCACTTATTTATATATTTGGGTATACATTTAAAAATATTAAGAAGGCAGTGCTGCTACTTAAAAAAGAAAGATATGGCTCCTAATTTCAAAGAACTTTCAAAATAGTAAGACAAAATAAGGACAACTTACACATTCAACTGATTTACAAAATAAATTCATATCAAATAGAAGGCTTTCTGACATGTACATATCCATTATATTTGGTCTCCTCCTTACCTTTTCCATCTAGCACTGAGGAATGAACCTAGGGCCTTGAGATCCTAGAGATCCTCTAATTGGAAACACCCCAGCCAGATCACGCTATAGAAAAGACCCTGGGTGACAAATGTGGTACTTCCAATTAGATTTAGAAGGCATCTCAAACAAGAAAATAGCCATAAATCTCCAAATATCTGTAAAGAGAATCTTTTAGATAAGATATAGGCCAAAACACAAAATAAAGAAACTCAAAGTTAACAAGGCAATTCAGAGAAATGAAAAATATTTAAGAAAACCTTCAAAATCCTCAGCAAGATTAAAAAAAAAAAAAAAGCAAAAGCAAACCAAAAAGAATCCTTACAAGTAAAAAAGATTAGAAAAAAAATGAACAAAAGTTACATAAAGATGAAAAAGAAGATGTTTTCAAGTCATTATTACAGAAATTATGCCCAAAAAAATATGGAATAATTTAAGTAAATTTCCCAGAACTGAATCAAGACGAGTTTCCAAATCAAACCAAACTGAAAGGATCCAACACAATGTATAAAACAACACACACCAAGGCACATAGTCATGTAATTTCAGAGAACTGGAAACAAAGAAAAGTTACTAAAATCTTCCAGGGAAGAAAAGGTAACAAAAACATGTACCATAATCCATACAGCATTGAACTTCTCAAAAGCAACAATGGACAGTAAAGCCAATGGAATAATAATGACAAGATTTTGTGGAAAAATAATTGCAAGTCAGATGCTATAAAAATATCAGTAAGTAATAGAGAAAAACAAGATATTTTCAGGTATGCAAGGTCTAAAAACACTACTTTCTATACCTCTTTCTCAAGAAGCTAATCAAAAGAATTAACTACAAAAGAGTAAATCTTAGGTACAGCACAGGAAAAAGAGGTGGAATCCTCAGAATGGAAGGAAAGTGAAATTTAAGGACAACAGAAGCCTAACAGATCTACAGAACAAGTTATTATTGAACCATGAGAATAAAAGGCCCCAGGACAAATTGCTTCTAGAAAGAAAGTGAAATAAACAAGTTAACCAAGGCATTTGAAAGCATAAATAAGAAATTCACATCCCTAGAAGACAGTGTACAGATGGATTACAGATAGATATTACAGAAAACAAAACCATTATTAACTACAGGTAAAACAAATGGTGGGTAAAAATGGATTATATAATAAGGGTATACCAGATTGAGAGAATCACAATAACCCCTAAAATTTTTCTCACTGAAAAACTATTAACTTTATTAGGAAAACAAAGAGTAGGAAATATAAGTGAATGTATGGGACTGTATATATGTCTATATGAAGAAGAGAATAAAAGCTAAATCCTAATTTATTCTACCACCAGAACTCCTTCCATCCTTAAGTCCCCAACTGATAACTTCAATAATCCTGATTGGTATTCTCTGCACCCTGCCCTGCAGGCTAGCTTTGAGGAGTGGGTGCTAAATGCTATTTTCTGTGTTTACCAAAATGCTAAATATCCCAGTTTACTTTCATTCCTGGAAAAAGAAGGTGACTGAAGTATACACTTTAGTATTCTATGCAAAAGAAACAACAAAGTAAGTAACAGAGATTGTCCTGCTCTTGTGCTCTCCAAAAAAAAAAAAGCCCACTCTTGCTCCTAGAATGAATAAGTCATAAGTATTCCCAGAAAATTTATGATTATATATTCTTGAGCTGAAGAGTCTTTACAGAGTACAAACCTGTTTCTGACCTTCCTGAAGTTGGGAATTTTCATTCAAAGCCTCTTTCATTGCTACCTTAAGTCGTTCTTCATTCATTTGAAATATTTTCAAGGTTGTTTTAGCCTAAGTAAAACAAAAATTATTGAGTTTCTAACAATTAGTTTAACATAACAGCTTATCTTTACACATTTCTCTCTAGAACATGGAATTTAAACAATGGCAAAAACATGTCCAAGGCAGCACAGTATTACAGGAAAAAACATTAAAGTAGAATCAGGGGGCTAGGGATGTGGCTCAAGCGGTAGCACACTCGCCTGGCATGCGTGCGGCCTGGGTTCGATCCTCAGGACCACATACAAACAAAGATGTTGTGTCTGCCAAAAACTAAAAAATAAATATTATAATATTCTCATTCTCTCTCTTTCTTTCCCTCTCTCTTTAAAAAAAAAAAAGTAGAATCAGGTGTATAGTCCTGGTTGTGCCACTAATTTGCCATGTGACATGAACAAATGATTTAATGGTCTATAAACTAGGTACTATGCAACAAATTTTGTTAACTATCTGTGTCTCCCCTACTAAAATTTAAACCCCCTGGACATTTTTGTATCCACAATGTGCTATTCACATTCAATTGCCCAGTAAAAAATGAACTTCTCTGAAGTACCTCATGTAAAAAAAATAGATATTTAAGATTCCCCATATCTCAAATCCTAGTATAGTATCTTAATTCTTAATAATAAAAATAACAATAAAATTACAGTGATTTTCACAAGCAATAGACTGTTAGACTAATTCAACTTACTTCAGCTATTTGTGATTTGAGAGATTTTGATTCATCTTCTAGGGACTGTATCCTTTTTGATATATCTGCCATCTGTAAAGACAGTATCATTCAACAAATAAGTATTTACTAAACCCCTTCAGTTTCAAAGATTTCATATATATTAGGTATATTGTTAATCTACTGTTTTTGTTTTATAAGTAAGGGCTCAAATTTAGAAGTTCTTCAGTTTATTTACCATATGCTGGTAGGGATTTTATACCATAATTCCATAACAACAGTATCTAAACTCAAATTCAATATTTTGTAACACTTACACAGGCTCAAGTAAATCCACCAATATTACATCATCTTATTAAATAATCTCACACACATCAAAATTTTCCTTAAGCCATATTTTAAACAGAAAGTCATAATGTTCTTTATATATCTTTTATTTAAGTAATAAAAATACCCACCAGGCATGTAATGATTCAACTTGAAATATGTATGAGTTACTTACAGAATGCACATAGAAAATTTCTATTGGAACATGCAAAAAATTTAAAATAACATCTAGGAAGTAAAAAGAGTAGATCTGGAAATTTTTGCTCTTCTGTATTCTTTGCACTTTATATAGTACATGTAATATTTAAGCAATATTGGATTAATTTTTAAAACAAAAACTGTCTTTTTCTTATATTCTCCTCAAATATGAAAGCCTTACCAATTCATCCTGTTCAGAATGTTTAGATTTCTCTTCTTTTAGCTCTTTTTCTAGAAAGAGTATTTCATCCTCAAGTTTAGACTTGGACCTATCCAGCTTTTCATATGTTGCCTAAAACAGAAAATCAACTTTATAAGACAGACTCATGAATTTTTGGTTAAGGTAAATCAGACCAGTATAGACAAACATATGTACATATTACATATGTAATTTATATATTTGCTCATTTTTATAATATTAAAATAACAGAAATTATATCAGTGGTCAGCAAACAACTTCTGTAAATAGAGAGTAAATATTTCAGGTTTGTAGGGCATGCAGTCAGTCATAAATACTCAACTATGTATGTCACTGTTAATAAGAAACAAAGACAATACCTAAATGAACAAACATGGCTGTGTTTCAATAAAACTTCATTTACAAAAACAGGTGGAAAATCCTAGCAGTTTGCCAACCTCTGCCCTAAAGCACATTAAGGAAAAATAGGAAAAACAGGTCCAATAAGAAAAGACCAGTGGTAGATAGAGTGCTTGCCTAGCATGCATGAGGCCCTAAGTTTTATCCCTAGAACTGCACACAAAAAGAGAAAATTTTAAAAATAAACTACAAAACCAATCAAGATTGCTTAATCATAATATTCCCCATTGAATTACGACATATTTTCTATAACCTCTTTGATTTAAAGTGATTAGTCACTAAATTATTTCAAGTGGATTTTAAATGCTATAATAAACATACCTCTGATATTTGTGATCCTTCACCAAACTTTTTTTAAAAAATAACAAATCAAAAAAATAAATAAATAAAAATAACAAATCAAAAGATCCTACTGTTGTTAAAAAACTTGTTTTATATATTTACCCAAATTTGACAATTTTATTATAGGAAATCTAACTTGAATCAAAATTACTTTGTTTGATTTTTATCTATAATCATCAAACTTTCCACAAATTATATCACATTATATATAGTGTGTACTCAATTATGATGGCTACTCCTGAAAAAATACTTATTTAAAAAATTACTAAATTTGAGGGGTTGGGGAGATAGCTCAATTGGTAGAGTGCTTGCCTTGCATGCACAAGACCCTAGGTTCAATCCCCCCACCACCAAAAAAAAAAAAAAATACTAAATTTGAGAAAACTTCCCAAAATTTATTTCTTTCAGCTAAAAACACAACAAATTTTACAACTAAGTTATATAAATTCATGCCTTAACAACAAATTGGTATATTTTATTTTATTCACAATATCACCTAACTTAAGTAAATGTCTTTGCTACCCATTTTTTGTTCTGTTACCATGCTTAAAGTCTTCAAAAATTCTTTTTATTTATCAAACTAATAAATTACTACTGGGACAGAATTTAAAACAGGGTCAACAAATAAAATACAATTTCAGTGGTTATTGGATATTAAAAGGTAACAACTGAAGAAAGAGAAAACCAAGAAATTTGTTTTATTTGGGAATTCAATTTATAAATTCCTTGTAGCTCTAACAAGGAAATTCTGAATCATGACATATAACTTTCTAAGAACAGACATTAGTGACTGAGAACTGCCAACCTGGACTGAACATATATGTCAAAGGAAAAAGATCTACTGCTTTCTACTTTTACATTATCAGAAACAGGCTTCCTCTACTGTCCTTCTCTACTACTTCACTTAATACAACACCTTCATCTCTAACAGCATTAAGGCCTGAATCTGTCCTAGTTTAGCTAAATTACCATATTTTCCTTCTTTATGAATAACTGAATCACACCTGGCTCAGGAAAGTCATCTATGTAAATCTCTTCAAAACGTGTTATTCAGTGAAATCATATTGATAGCCTAAAATTGGCCACAGTGGGAATATTTATACATAAAACTCAGTAAATGCTCTTCAGAGAGTGGTTGTTAAACATTTACTAGTACTCCACTACTTACATTGGCCTAATTCTAGTTAACTTCTACTATCCTGGATGAAGTAAAGGCAATTTACATAATGTATTATTTCCAGCGAATCCTAAATTTGTAGGAATAGTTACTTTAATGTGTTTTTTAGCAATGAAGAATAAAAACTTCTGTACAGTTCTAGATTCCAATAATTGACTATTCCTCACTCAAGACAAGTTAAACATCAAAGGCTCAAATTTTTAAAGTATTTTATGCTACCTACCTCTAATTTTTTTATTCTTAAACTTTGGCATTCAGAGATGTTCATTCACATTTCTTTGAAATACTTAAGTTTTGAGAAGCTCTATTATTTTTAAAGTTCAAGTTATTTAGTAAGAACCCTTTACCCCAATGTTTTAAATTTTCTTTTTCTTTTTCTTTTTTACCTCCAAACTTTGTGCTTCTGTTGACTCCTTCTCAAAACTGGCATCCTTTAAAGATGACTCTAAGCCTTCATACTGAAACAAGGCAACACATAAGTAAAAACTAAAAATATTATACCAGATTTTATCTAGACAGATGTCTAAGAAGCAGACAGCATCTATTTCCTCACGTATGTTAAACTCACTTGGATTTACTCAGCTTTTAAGTTCTTCAAATCTGACCACTGTAACAAACAAAGCCAGGGCAGCTAACATTATCACAAATCATTCACTTGGGCAATATATGGCAGAACTTCGCCCTTAAGACTAGGAAAGAAAGGCTCAGGATGAAGTTTAGTGGTAGAGCACTTGCCTAGCATGCAAGAGGTCCTGGGTTCAATCCCCTATACTGCAAAAAAAATTTTAAAGACTAGGAAAACTGTCCAAAGTCTGCTTCTCAAAGAACATAAGGCTGTAACTCATATGATCATTCTTTATTTAAAAAGAGGTGAAAAGTATAATGGCAAGGTTGTACTGAAGATGATCCAAGGATTTATTCAAAAAGTATATTTTTATATAAGATGTCTATTATTCCCTCTAACAAGTATACTTCTTTTTTAGGTCTTTTCAATAAAGAAAAATTTATAGTAGCTGGCCATCAGAAATTTTCACTTTTAATTCATAGCATAAGACAAATAAAGCAAGTAGGGAATGCAAAATCTTTAGAACATAAGAGGATTGTCATGAATAAATGAAAAATAAGGACAATGAAATATACAATATTATAAAATCTGACAAAATGCACCTATTCACTGTTTTTTAAAAAGAGATTAAATTGAAAACTAGGCTATTTTAAATCAGTCTTTCTGCTAAGAAGAACTGGACAAAAAAGAAACAGGATCTGTCTGATGGCTTCAAAGACTACTTAAAACTGTGAAAATAATATGAGAGAAGAGGGAATTCCCAGAAAGACAAATTCAGCATTTGACAATTCTTTTTCCCCAAAAAGTAAAGGCTGACAGGTGGGAAACTGAGCAAAGAGATCATGAAAAGCAGAAGCTGAGAAAATAAAATGCAGAATTCAGGACCTGCTGAGTAGGATGAGCCATGGAACTCAGGTGTCAGGATAGGACCCTGTCCTTCACTGAATAATAACCTCTCCTAAGATGTTTAAGTACTAATCCTCAGTATTTCCAGGTACAATTAAGTTAAGGATCTTGAGATAGGAGAGTAACCAGTAATATTCTGATAAGCCCAATACATCCAAGGCAAGAGGCAAGGGGGTTGGTAGATCATGGGCTTATTAACATGCAGAGGGCCCTGGCTTCAATCCCTAGCACCAAAAACAAAGAGGGCAGGCAACTAAAAAGGAGGTGAAAAGTCTAATGGCAAGGTTGTACTGAAGATTATCCAAAGATTTATTTAAAAAGTATATTTTTATATAAGATGTCTATTATTCCCTCTAACAAGTATCTTTAGAAGTATGTAAAGATAGAAGCAGAGATCAGGGTGATGCAGCTATGAGCCCAAGAAATCACTACAGCCTCTAGAATCTGGAAGAAGTAAGGAATAAATTCTCTCTGGGAGCCTGCATAAGAAAACAGACTTGCTGAATCTTTATTTTAGCCCACAACAAGGGTTTTATAGTTCTGACCTCCAGAATTAGAAAAAATTTTTGTTGCTTTACATCACTAAGTTTGTAGTAATTTGTTAGAGTGGTATTTATTAGGAAACTGATACTAATCAAAACTGTTTGTTTGTTTGTTTGTTTTGGGTACCAGAGATTTAACCCAGAGGCACTTAACTCCTAAACCACATCCCCAGCCATTTCTTATATTTTATTTAGAGATGGTCTCCCTGAGTTGTTTAGTGCCTCACTAAGTTGCTAAAGCTGGTTTTGAACTCATGATCCTCCTGTCTTGGCTCCCAAGTCACTAGGATTACAGGCATACACCACCTTCACCCAGCTAAAACGACTATCTTATTAAAGCTTAAACCAGAAACAGACTAATCTTTTGAACTGAGATATAGCTCCTACATATCTCAATCTGTTATTAAAGTAATCTGATCTCCCATCTAAGAGAAGTCCTGGACCAGGCTGCTTTGTGGCAGAATTCAAACAAATTTTCAAAAAAAGAATTAAGACCAATATTTCAACTCTTCTCAAACACAGAGTTAGAGGGAATACTTTCTAACACATTTTAAGAAGCCAGCATCACCTTGATACCTAAGCAAGATAAAGACATCAAAAGAAAAAGAAAACTGCAGATCAATATTTCTGTTAAACATTAATGTGAAAAAAAAATTACAAAAAATAAATAAGCTTTAAAGCAAAAATCCTCAATAAAATATTAGCAAATGAAATTTAACAACTCATCAAAAAACTTATACATTATTCGTTTGGGAAGCTAAGATAGGAGGATTCCAAGTTCAAGGACAGCCTGGCAACTTAGGAGACCCTATCTCAAAATTTTAAAAAAGGGCTGGGATATAGCTCAGTGTAAAGCACTGCTGGGTTCAATTCCCAGTACTAAAAAAAAAAAAAAAAGACTATACATACATCATGATCTTGTAGGATTTATCCCTAGCATGCAAGGCTAGTTTAACATATGTAAATCAATCAATGTGATACATCACCTTAACATACTGAAGGACAATTACATGATGATAACAACTGACAGAGAAAAGCATTTGACATAGTACAATATCTTGTCTTTAAAAAAAATTGTAGTTGTTGATGGACAGAATGCCTTTATTTTATTTGTTTTTATTCTTATGTGGTGTTAAGGGTCGAACCCAGTACCTCACAAATGCTAGGCAAGTGCTCTGCCACTGAGCTACAGCCCCAGCCCATACAAAATTCTTTCTTGGAAAAACTCTTTAGGTCTGGGATTGTGGCTCAGCAGTAGAGCACTCGCCTAGCATGCGCGGGACCCGGGTTCGATCCTCAACACGACATAAAAATAAAGGCATTGTGTTGTGTCCATCTACACCTAATAAAATAAATATTAAAAAAAAAAAAGAAAAGAAAAAACTCTTTAACAGTTAATTATAGAAGAAAAGTTCCTTAACATAATAAAGGCCATTTATGAAAAACTCACAGCTAACATAATCAGGAAAAACTGAAAACTTTTCCTCTAAGATCCTGGGTACAAGGTAAGGATTATCCACTCTCACAACTTTCAGTCAACAGACCTAGAAGAGTTCTATCAAACACACTTGAACAACAACAAAAAAAAGATATAAAAGTTACCTAAATTAGATGAGAAGACATAGAATTATCTCTATTTGCAGATGACATGATCATACCTGTAGAAAATTCCAAAGACTCCACCAAAAAACTATAGTTTCTAATAAATGAATTCAATGAAGTGGTAGAATATAAAATCAACATACAAAACCTCACACTATATATAAACATCAATTCAAAATGGATCAGACTTAAAACATAAGAAGTCTATAAAACTTCTAGAAGGAAACAAGTGTTAAGTCTTGTGATCCTGTATTAAGCAGTCATTACATATACCTGCTACCAAAAGCACAGAAAAGGAAAAAAAAAAAGATCAACTGAGCATCATCAAATTTTAACTTTTATGCTTCATAGTATACCAACATTAAGAAAGTGAGGAAACAACTCACAAGAGAGAAAATATTCGTTAATCATGTATCTGATAAGCTTTATATCCAGAATACATAAAGATAGAACTTAATAATAGACAACCCAATTAAAAACCAGGCAAAGAAGTGAACAAAATTTTCTCTAGAAAAGATACACAAATGGCCAGTAAGCTATAGTAAGATGCTTATTAGCCATCAGGGAGCATCATTAGCCATCAGGGAAATGAAAATCGAAACCACAATGAGATATCAATTAACACCCAGTAGAACTGTAATAAAAAAAATACAACAACAAGTATTGGGAAAGGTATACAAAAGTCAAAAAACTCACAAACTACTGATGGGAATGTAAAGAGGTACAGCCACTGTGAAAAACTGGTAATTCTTTTGTACGTTCACACAAAAACTTGTACATGAATACAGTAAGCATTACTATTTATAACACCAAAAGTGGAAATAACCCTAAATGTTCATCAATTGACAAATGGATATATAAATTGTGGTATGAATATCTGACAAAAAAGAAACTAATTCTGATACATGCGATAATATGAATGAAACATTTCCTTTGGGTATATACTTAGGAGTTGAATTGTTGCATCTGTATTTAACATCATTCTAAGAGAAAATCACAAAGAACCATATGTTATATAATTCCACTTATATGAAATGTCCAGAATAGGCCAATCTATAGAAATAGAAATTATCCATGACTTTGACATGGGACAGACGGGGTGAAGAGTGATAACTAAAGGGCTCATAGTTTCTTTTTGGGGTAATAAAAATGTTTGAAAGTTGATTGCTATGATGAATGCACAACTCTGTGAATATACTAAAAGCCATTCATTTATATTCTTTAAATGGGTGAATTTTATGTTATGTAATTGTATCCCAATAAAGCTGTTTAAAAAAAAAAAGAATACCTGGGAATAAATATAAGAAAAGATGTTCAAGACCATAAATCAAAAATTTTTAAAACAATTTTTTGGGGGGTGGGGGTACTGGGAATTGAACCCAGGGGTGTTTTATCACTGAGCTATACCCCCAGACCTTTTTATCTTGTATTTTGTGACAGGGTCTTGCTAAGTTGCTTAGGGCCTTCCTAATTCCTATTACTAAGGCTAACCTCAAACTTGCAATCCTCCTGCCTCATCCTCTCAAGCTGTTGGAATTGGGCATGTGCCACCACACCCAGCTGAGAGAATTTTAAAAGACATAATAAATAGAAGAATGTACCACCAGGGATAAGAACTCAACATTATAAAAATGTCAATTCTTGCTAAAAATTTATCTATACACCCAACAGAATCCAAACTCTTAGCAGGTTGTGTGCATGCATGTGTGTGTGTGTGTGTGTGTGTGTGTGTACGCGCACATGAATGATTTTAAATGTATATAGAAAGACTGTCATGAGAGCCAAGACAATTCTGAAGAACAACAAACTTGTAGGTTTACCTTGTCTGATAACAAGGCTGACTATAAAATTATAGTAATCAAAAAAGTATAGTATTGGTATAAAAGTTTTTAAAAAGATCAACAGAAAATAAGGTATTATAGAAACAATCTCACAAATATTCAGTCACTTGATTTAAGATGACATTATAAAACAACAGAAAAAAGTCTTTTCAATAAATGTTAATAATTATGGCTAGAGTTGTGGCTCAGTGGTAGAGCACTTGCCTGGCATGTGTGAGGCCTTGGGTTCGATCCTCAGTACCACAAATAAATAAATAAATAAATAAAAGATCTATTTACAGCTAAAAAATATTTTAAAAATCAAATAAATAAATGTCAATAATTACTGTAATATATATATATATATATATAAATTTACTATTGACATATTCTTCCAATTACATCATCATGGATTCAATTCCAGATGGATTAAAAACTGTTATAGGCTGCCTGTAGTGATGCACACCTATAATCCCAGTGGCTCAGGCGATGTGGCAAGAGGATTACCAGTTCAAAGCCAGCCTCAGCAACAGCAAGGCGCTAAGCAACTCGGGGAGACCCTGTCTCTAAATAAAATACAAAATGGGGCTGGGGATGTAACTCAGTGGTCAAGTACCCCTGAGTTCAATCCACAGTATCCCCAAAAAACAAAAACTGTTATGGGCTGAATTATGTCCTCCACAAATTCCTATGTTGAAACTCGAATCCACAGTACTTTGAATATAACTTCATTTGGAGACAGAGCCTTTAAAATTGTGATTAAGTTAAAATGAAGCTGTTGGAATGGGTCCTCATCCAATACAAATGGTGTCCTTATAAGAAAAGACCATTGGATGCAGAGATGCCAGAAATTTGTGTATGCCCATTCCACATAAAGATACAGCAAGAAGGCAGTCATCTACAAGCCAGGGAGAGATCACAAAAGACATCAAATGAGTCAATACCTTAAACTTGGACTCCTGTCTCCAGATCTGTGAGAAAATAAATTTCTGCTATGTAAGCCCCTAAGTCTGTGATATTTTATGACAGTAGCCCTAACAAACTAATACAAAGACAAAAAAAAAAAAAAGAAAAAGAAAAACCATTAAGTTTCTAAAAGATAACACCAAAAAAGTATCTTTATACCCTTAGGTAGACAAAAATTTCTTTCATCAGGAAACAAAACGCAGTTATCATAAATAAATAACCGACAAATTAGTTTATACTAATTAAGAATTTCTGCTTTCCAAGGCACATTTGAAATAAGGTAAGCCAGAGTGGAAGAAGATATTTGCAGTTCATATATCTAACAAAGAACTTGTATCTGAGATATAGAAAAACTCCTACATGAAAAAAAGGATAAAGACAATAATACCTTTAAAAAACATAAAAAAGACCTGAAAAGACAAATTCACAAAAAGAATATCAAAATGGCCAAAAAAATATATAAAAATGCACTCACTCTCATTAGGCAGAGAAATACAAATTCAATCAACAGTAAGAAAACACTATACACCTAATGGCCAAAATTAATATGATGGGTTAAGCACTAAAGTTGAGGAACAACAGAACTCTCATACTTTGCAAATAGAGCATTACTAATCTTAAATTTACATAGAAGTAGATACACTGAAAAACAGAAAGTTCCATGAGTGGCACATGCCTATAATCCCAGTGATTTAGTAGGCTGAAGCAGGAGGATTGCAAGTTCAAAGCCAGCAAATTATCAAGAACCTGTCTCAAAATAATAAAAGGACTAAGGATGTGGTTCAATAGTAAAGCACCCCTAAGTTCAGTCCCCAGTATCAAAAAAGAAAGTCAGTACTATGACTCTAGCATAAATGTTATTTTCAGGGCTGGGGATGTGGCTCAAGCGGTAGCGCGCCCGCCTGGCATGCGTGCGGCACGGGTTCGATCCTCAGCACCACATACAAACAAAGATGTTGTGTCCACTGAAAACTAAAGGAAATAAATATTAAAAAAAATAAAAATAAATGTTATTTTCAAAAAATGTCTTACCTCTTTTTGAACAAGGCTAATTTTTTCAAGTAGTTCACATTTTTCTTTAATTAGTCCAGAAAGTTTTAGAGCAAGCTTTTTTTCTCTTCCTTTAAAAAAAAACAAAAAAATAAAGGTCAATATTATTATGAATGAATTATTTAATATAAGTTTTTAAATTATACTCAACAAATGATGGGATCTAAAATAGAAAAATTAGCTTACCCATGTAAAGCCGGCTTCTAACCTGAAACAAATTTTTAACAAAAATCACATTAAAACAAGCATACTTTCAAGTAAATCTAATTTATTTAATTTCTACTCCCAACTTAAAAATAACAGTTTTCTTGCCTTACTATAAACATGAGTTAGCCAAAAGAGTTCTACTTCCAATGAAAAAAAAAATGCTACATATTAAAGTCTCCCTAATTAAAGAAACCACAAACCAATTTTTTTTTTTTTTTCTTTTTGGAAAAAGCTTTTTCTCTCTTGAATAATGAGAAAGCAGCACTCTTAGGGCTGAGGTAACATAACCAAGTAGAAAAGACAAAAAGGAACTTAGGTCACCTACAGAACATGTATAGACATAAAATGAAAAGAGCCAATTTAAAAGACAAGGTTTGGCAGAATGGATACAGATGAAGAAATTAGGGAATGAAACATCAGATTGAAGAACCTTCTCAAAAGGTAACCAAATCCCAAGACTGGGGTTATAGCTCAGTGATGGAGTGCTCACCTAACACATGTGAAGCACTGGGTTCAATCCTCAGTACCACATAAAGAATAAATAAATAAATAAAAAGGTATTCTGTCCACCTACAATTTAAAAAAAAGTAACAGAATCCCATAAAAAAATAGAAAAATGGAAGTTAAAAAATATGAAGTCAGGCCGGGCACAATGGTGCCTGCCCTATAATCCCAGCAGCTTGAGAGGCTGAGGCAGAAGAATTGAGAGTTCAAAACCAGCCTCAGCAACTTAGTGAGGCCCTAAGTAACTTAGTGAGCTACTGTCCCAAATAATAAAGAGAAAGGGCTGAGGATGTAGCTCAGTAGTAAATTGCCCCTGGGTTAAATCCCCAGTACCAGAAAAAAAAAAAGAAAGACATTAAAACACATCTTGAAAGAAGTGTTCAAAGATGACAAAAATTATTTCTAGAAGACCCAGCAAAAAATATGTCAATTAACAGTAATCATATACTATAATATCTGTCATTTTCTTAATCATGGAAAAGAGGTGAATAAAAAGTTGAAAACAAAAAATGGGGAGAGAACAACCCACAATAAAAAATTAAAAAATAAATAAATAAATAAATAAATGGGGGGAGAGAGAGAGAGAGAGAGATACTGCTTATAAATCCAAGATAAAAACATAGATTATATCAACATGATAAAGATTGGAAAGTAAAAAAGGACACCCTGGATACAAGAATGTGCTGAGGTTCTTGTCTTCCAGGCAGAAAGATCTACTTATCAAAGTGAAAAGAATTTAAAAGAAACATACAAAAAGTAGAACACATTAATAAATTAAAATGGAAGAAACTCCAAATTCATCCATAATCGATAATCATAATATGTGTACATAGACTACACTCAACAGTGAAAAAGAGGATTGCCAGATTAGATATTAATATATATATACAAAATATACATTAAATAGAGACCATGGAAAGGCTGAAAAATATGAGGATGAGAAAAGACATCAAGTATCACTCAAAGTTAGTATGGCTCTCTTAACATTGGATATAAGAGGTCTTAAAAGTATCATTAGTGATAGAAGGTCACTAGATACTGCCAGGTTTCAATTTACCAAGAAGATACAGTAATTCTAAACATGTATACACCTAACAAAATATCCTCAAAATATGCAAAACAAGAATGAACAGAAAAACAGAACGTGATAAATCCATCATAACAATGGAATGCAGTACACTTTTCTTCATTTTTGATTAATGTAGGAAACAAAGAAAAACAAAAAAATGTAATTCATGAACAATACAATCAATCAATTAACATTCACAATCTAATGTGTGGAAACAATGATGTGCATGCATCTACTTTCAACAATATTCAATGGAATAGAATGCATTAAAAATTCTCATATACATGAATTTTAATATGTGGAACCAGACATACAGAATCCCTAACCTAAAAAATTAACTCAAGACAGATCAAGGGCCAGGCGCAGTGGCGTATGCCTGTAATCCTAGTAGCTCAGAACACTGAGGCAGGAGGATTTCAAGTTCAAAGCTAGCCTCAGCCTCAGCAAAAGCAAGGTGCAAAGCAATTCAGTGAGATCCTAAGTAAAAATCACAAAATAGGGCTAGGGATTTGGCTCAGTGGCCAAGTGCCCCTGAGTTCAATCCCCGGTACCCCCCAAACAAACAAACAAACAAAAGATAGATCAAGGATTTCAGTGTTAAAAGCAAAACTTTAAAAGTGAGAATTTCTGTATATCATAAAAAAATTAAAAGAAAAGGAAAAGATATTTCATACTGGGACATTTGCAATACACATAATAAAGATAGCAACAAAAATATATAATGAAGGCTGTGGACGTGGCTTAGTAGTAGGGTGTCTGCCTGACATGCAAGAAGCCCTAGGTTCAATCCCTAGCACCACAAATAAGTAAATAAAGATACACAACAGTGATTCCTGCTTTGTTACAGGCACATGTGAGTAAATAACCAAAAACAAACTTAAAAAAAAAAAAGAAGACGACTATATAATGAAATAGGAAAAAACAAACTACTCAAAAAAATCTTGGCAAAAGACAAAGATTTTCAAAAACAACAAATATATACAGCTAATAAATGTACTGGGAGAGATCGTGAGGAAATTCAAATCAAGGCCATGATAAGATCCATTTTATAGCCACTCAAATGATAAAAATCAAGAACTACCACAGTAAGTGTTGGACAGAACATGGATCAAATGGATCTGTAGGGTTTCTTATATAGCACTGGGAGAAGTATAAAGCAATACAGATAATATAGAAAAGAATTTGACATTACCTTTTAAAAGTAAAATTTCCATATGCTTTATAATCTAATAATCTCATACTTACATATATTCCCAAGAAAACTCTTACAAATATACAACAAGAGATGTAAATTAATAATAAACACACGGGGCTGGGGATGTGTCTCAAGTGGTCGCGCTCGCCTAGCATGCGTGCGGCCCGGGTTCGATTCTCAGCACCACATACAAAGATGTTGTGCCCGCCAATAACTAAAAAATAAATATTAAAATTCTCTCTTTCAAAAAAAAAAAATAATAATAATAATAATAAACACAGCAGTACTGTTTATAATAGAAAAAGCCTGGGAAATAACCCAAATGTCCAGGGCCATAAAAGTACAGATAAAACTATAATATATATATATATATATATTTTTTTTTTTTAATATTTATTTTTTAGTTGTAGTTGTACACAATACCTTTTTTTATTTTTATGTGGTGCTGAGGGTCGAACCCAGGGCCTCACCCAGGGCCTCACCCATGCTAGGCAAGCGCTCTACCGTTAAGCCACAACCCCAGCCCAAAACTATAATATATTTTTTATAATGTGATATTCTACAGAAATAGTAAATAATAGTGAATCTTTTTTTTTTTTGGTACTGGGGATGGAAACCAGGAGCACTTACCACTGAGCTACATCCCCAGCCCTTTGTATTTTGAGACAGGGTCTCACTAAGTTGCTGAGGCTGGCCTTGAACTTCAATCCTCCTGCCTCAGACTCCGGAGTTGCTGGGAATATAGGCATGCACCACTGCATGCAGCATGGTATGATGAATCTTAACATTCAAAATATGGATATATCTTAACAACATAAGGTCAAAAACAAAGCTCAAAAGATGACATATGGCATGATATCAAGTAAAATTATAATCTATACTTTTAAAGGATATAATATGATGTCCCCAAAATTTTTAAAGGCGGGGAGTGAAATGAGGGAGGATTACCTAAATGTAAGTCACAATGTTTTGTTTTTGTTTTTGTTTTTGTTTTTTTAAGAGAGAGAGAGAGAGAAATTTTAATATTTATTTTTCAGTTTTCGGCGGACACAACATCTTTGTTTGTATGTGGTGTTGAGGATCGAACCCCGGGCCGCACGCATGCCAAGCAAGCACGCTACTGCTTGAGCCACATCCCCAGCCCGACAATGTTTTTTATTCCAAGTTAAGTGATACATTCACAGATGTTGGAGAAGGCGGGGAGAGAAAAAGAATAAATAAATAAAGGTAGGGGTTTAATATTAGTGTATAATACTTCTATAAAGAAATTCTTTAAAATTTTTATACATGAGGCTGGGGTTGTGGCTCAGAGGTAGAGCACTTGCCTAGCATGTGTGAGGCACTGGGTTTGATCCTCAGCACCAAATAAAGATAAAATAAAGGCATTGTGTCCACCTACAACTAAAAAAATAATTTTTTTTAAATAAACAAAATAAAATATTTATACAAAAAAAAGTTCCTCTGAATACATAGTTTCTGTTAGCCACATATTAACATGTGTTACCACCAAACTACAGCCTGTTTCCTTAAAAAAACAAATGTTTCTCATACCACTTGTTCAGACTCTAGTCAGAATGAACATTTTCTCTTAGTATATACTGCTTACTTACAGATTTAAAACTTCTCCACAAAAACAAGAAAATAGCTAAAAATCCAATAGCTGCACATATCACCAACTCCCACGGAAGGCCATAAGGATTAGGGCCTGGTCTCATATCTTCAGGCAATGCTTCCACAACCTTCAAGAAAAAAAAAAAAATTAAGTCCATAAACCTGCATTTTTGACAATAATTATTGATTACAAATATAGGTTCAAATGCATGTGTTCAACTCTATTAATATCCTTTTCACAAAATGGGCTCCCAGAGTAACACCAAACAGAAGATATCCAAAAACATTTTTCTGGCAACTTTCAACCATTATCACCCAAGTGATGAAGAAAAGCATCACAGTGAGATGCAAAGATTTTCAAACTGGAGGGCAACAGAAATGCCTCAGACCTTTCAAGGATGAGAAATAGCAGCTGGAAAGGCAAAGAAAGAAGTTGAATGACAGATTCAGATGTTCCTTCCCTCATTTCATCCAGCTTAGGTTTTACCTGGTGAATACGCTGGATTCCACAAACTGAACATGCAAGTTTAAAAAAGCACTTTATTTTCAGTAGCATCCAAAAAAATAAGATATTAGAACTAAATTCAACAAAAGAAGCTCACATTGAAAACTACAAAGCATTGTTGAAAGAAACTGAGATCTAAATAATGGAAAAATACCCTCTGTCTGTGGACTGGAAGACTTTATGTCAAAGACAGCAATACTTCCCAAAGTGATTTACAGATTCAAAGCAATCCCTATGTAAACTCCAACATCCTCTTTTTTGCAGAAATGGACCAGCTGATCATAAAATTCATTTAGCAATGCAAGAAACCCCAAACATCCAAAATAATACTGATAAAGAAAAATAATATTGGCAGACTCATACTTCCCTATTCCAAAAATGTATTACAAAACTATAATAATTAAGATGATGTCAGAAAAATTTTAAAAGACAATATAATAACATAACTATGTAATACATAGACCAAAGGAACAGAAATTAGAGTACAAAAATAAACCCTTAAATTCACAGCCAATTATTTTCAACAGCAATATCAAAACAAATCAATGTGGAAAGAACAGTTCTTTCAACTAATCATACTAGGATAAATCAATATTCAAACGCCAAGGAATGAATCTGGACTCAGACTTTATACATAAAAATTAATTCAAAATGGATCAAAGATCTTAATGTGAAAGCTAAAACTCTTCGAAGGAAGCATAGGTGTTAATCTTTGTGACTTGTTTTAAGCAATGGTTTCTTAGATATGACACCAAAACACAAGCAATCAAAGAAAAAATAAACAAGTTGAACTTAATCAAAATTTAAAATTTTAGTGCTTCAAAGAATACCATCAAGAAAAGACAATACACAGAATAAGAGAAAATATTTGCAAATCATGTATCTGAGAAGGGACTAGTACCTAAATAAATAAAGAACTCTTTCATGTATGTATTATATGTCAAAATACATTCTGCTGTCATGTATGACTAAAAAAGAATTTAAAAAATATATATATTTAAAAAAGAACTCTTATGACTTAATAAAAACACAAATCATTTGTTTAAATAGACTAAAGATAGATATTTCTCTAAAGAAAATATATACAAATAGCCAATAAGCACATGTAAAGATGTTCAATGTCATTATTTATTAGGGAATGCAAATCAAAGCCACAAGATACCACTGTATACTCCCCAGAGTAGCTATTTAAACACACACACATAAAAATGTTAAGAGTACAGAAAATTGGAACTCAAACTGCTCATGGGGATGTAAAAAGATGTAGCCTCTGTGGAATACAGTTTAACAGTTGCTCAAAGTCAAATGTGCCATGCACATGTCTATAATCCCATCAACTCAGGAAGCTGAGGCAAGAGGATCACAAGTTCAAGCCAGCCTCAGTGATTTAGCAAGACTCTAAGCAACTTAGTGAGACTCTGTCTCAAGATAAAAAATAAAAAGGATGTAGCTCAATGGTAAATTGTCCCTGGGTTAAACCCCCAGTACCTCCCACTTCCTAAAAAATAATGCTTTAAAAAAACTAGAAAGAAAATTAAAATGAAAGCAATGTTGTGACTTCCTAACACCCAGGCCAGTGTGGTAAGAGTTGTGTCATTTAGCAAAAAAAAATCATATGGATGGCCAAGTGTGGTGGCACACACCTGTAATCCCAGTGACTTGGGAAGCTGAGGCAGGAGGATTTTGAGTTCAAAGCCAGCCTCTGCAAATTAGGGAGGCACTGAGCAACTTAGCAAGACCCTGTCTCAAAATAAAACATAAAAAGGGCTAGGGATGTGGCTCACTGGTTAAGTACCACTGAGTTCAATCCCTGGGGGGAAAAAAAAAGATGATCATCAGAGAAGAAAATCCTGCAGAACCTGACAGCCTCTCTCCATGTCTCTCTCCATTGGAGTCTTGTTTAAAAAAAAAAAAAAAAAGTATTGATTATTGTTGTTCTTAATGAAGAAAGAGAAATATGTACAATCTGAAATTATCTCTCCTCCACAACTTCCTTATAAACCCCATCTTAGTAAATGAGTTAAACTGCCATAGCCAAAAACCTAGGAGTCATTTTAGGTTTCTTCTCTCTTTCCATCTAATCAAATCTAATCAGTAACCATATAATCCATAACCATTTTAACTTTTAGCTTCTAAATATCTCCCCATTCAGTACCCTGTTCTCTTATCCCTACCATTGTCACTTCTTCCTTAAAGCCTGTTTTGAGTTTTGTTTCACTGACATCTAACCTACATGCTACTATCAGGAAGCTATGTAAAGTCGAAACACTGAAAAGCCCTCAACAGCTCTCCAGCACCTTACAGTAGCACTTGGAACCTACTTATTTCCAGTAAGCATCATTGCACATCATGCCCTGAGTCCACTTTATACTCTAAGTAATACAGTCCTACTTCTCTGCACACACCTGGCTGTTTTATGCCTCCTCTACTTTAACTATCTGCACAGCCTGGAAAGACTTTACTAACCAATTAAGAAAATGTTATCTTTCGCACCCCTCACTTTGTATGTACGCTTCAGTAAGCACTTCATCAGTTTCTACTTTGGACTAATTTTTTTGTCTTCTCTCCTTTAACAGACAGCATGTTGCTAAGGACCAGAAGTATGTATTAGTCCATTTAGAACCTCCATACAGCTGACCTTGTCATTCATGAGTGTATGCTAAATACACTAAGGTTGAATAAATGAACGAAAAGCATGGCAACAATACTTTTAATTCACATAGGAAGAAAACAATCATAATTGCCTCAAGATTTTAAAAAGTCTTTTTTAAGGGGCTGGGGTTGTGGCTCAGGGTTGAGCACTTGCCTAGCACATGTGAGGCCCTAGGTTCGATCCTCAGCATCACATAAAAATAAAGGTATTGTGTCCAACTACAACTAATATATATATATATATATATTTTTTTTTAAAGTCTTTTTAAAAACGTAATGCAGTTTTTTTGAAACAGAGCGACATAAATGCTCCTAAACATGACAACAAAAACACTTACGGACACTTAAGGAGAAAAACCTGATTACAAAGTGAACCTGAAAAAAAGTAAATTTTAACTGAGAATTTACTATGCTTAGACCTTTTACGTTAAGACACAGACAAGCAAAGAACAATCTCGCTTTATGGCAAAGCACCTCAAATGGGCATTCTATATTGAAAGACCGCAGAATCAGAATCCCAACTCCCGCGCAAGACAACGAGAAGTTTCATCACTAAATATAAAACTCATTTCAGAGGATCGTTCCCCAAGGTTCTCACAGTCGGAAGAATCACGTGTCAGTAATCCCTATTCAAAACAAATAACAAAACAGAACAGCTAATTCATTTGGGGAGTAGGGGTTAACGGTAACTACCCCTTTGCAAAGTCCAGCAGGGCGAATGCGTTCGTCACCTTCCTGATCTCCAGGTCCCCTGCTACTATACAAAACCCTTCCAAGCACCCTGACCCGACTACCGCCGGAGGCAGGATAGATCTGGCCTCAGAACCCCAGACAAGCGAGGCGCCAACCCCAACGCCAAAGTCAGGGGCTGCGCTCCCCGGCGGCCCCGCTATGCCAGGGCCACGTAACCACGATCGCGCCCACTCACCCTGCGTACTTCTTCTAGGACCAGCCTCCAGTAACACTGAGGGGCAGCCCTGGGCCCCTCCATCACGCCAACGTTGCTTTGGCTGTTGCTGCCGCAACGACGGCCTGCCCAGCCACGCCAAAAGAGGCGGCGGACACTCGGCGTTCGGTCGGGAACCCGAACCTGCACCCGGCGACGGAGCAGACCACTGCGAGCCGGCTGCGGGGGAAGCCGCGGGCACGGGATCCAGGCCTCTTGCGCTCACGCTGCCTGCGGGGGTAGCCTGGTCCCCTTCGCTAAGCCGTGCATTCTGAAACAGAGCAGGTTCAAGCCCCTCCCACTCCAGCCCACGGCGCCTCCTCGACATGCCACCCACCCCTCAGTTTGGTTTCGGCCAGGCTGCGGCGGAGAGGCGGGGAGGCGCGGACCGCGGTAAACTTCCCCTTCTTCCTCGCGCGATGTTGGTAGACGTGTCCTGGTAGTTAGCTCTTAAAGGGACCGGCGCTCTACCTGGGGAAGGCAAGAGCCTTGGAAGTCAAGGGATCTGGGATTCGATCTCAGGCTCTGCGCTGGGGTGCAGGCCGCACAGGCCTGAAGACCAGGGCTGTGGCAAGGCTCTGGCTTCAGTTGCTGTGGAGGCAACTTCTCTCAGAGGCTTTTGGCGCAGCCCGGCGTGAGCGCGGCGCGCCCCCTCGACCCAGGGTCCGGGGCCAACCCCAGCCCTCTCCTCCACTAGAGCCATCTGCACCCCACACAAGCCCTTAAGGCGTCGTACCCCGGGGGACCCAGCTGGCCCAAGGAAACCTGCCGCCTCCTGCATTCCTGTCAGAAAATGGCCTGCAGTACTCGGCCAGGGTGCATTGCCAACCGTGTCTGGACTTTGGACTTTGGGCAGGAAAGCGTCTCGGGTCAGCAGTGGTCTGATCTGGGTTTAACCTCTCCTACACAAGAAAACATCTATAGGCTCTCCTTTGCCCTATGGAGGATGCCAGGGGTTTGTCACTTCTCTCAGTGATCTAGGCGCTGGCAGATGTATCTGACTAAATCCAACCCGTGTAGACTTTGGCCCAAGACATGTTGTTTTCATCTGAGTAGAAGAGCTAAAAGTAGCAACTTGCCCTCTAAATTTAGGATCCTATTTTTAGGGAGGTTGAATAAAGTGCCCAGAGATGGATTTGTTTGTAGTAGGCAATTTAGGTTAATAGGTGTAAATAATACATAGGTCTAATACATATGGAGACCTAACATAGGTCTCCATACCAGTATCATCTCATCAAATTCTGCCTAACTCAAGTCTGCAGGGAAGCAACTGAAAAAGGAGCAGATACTTCTACCTGAACAAATCTCCCAAGAAAACACAATAGATGAACAAAATCTTAGAACCTTAGTAAAATTTCCCAGTGTAAACTCTTGTAGAAATTTTTTAAAAAGTCAAAGTTAACTGAATGTGATTTTCAAGAACTAAAATGTGGCCTAGTTTTCCAGAACTCAAATTGCTCTTTCCTTTCCCACATCATCCTGGGGAGTTTCAAGAACTTCTAGTATCAGAGAGTAGCAGAAATTGCTTAATAATTATTTTTAAGGTGTTACAAACCTTCCATACATGTTGTGTAGTGTGTATGGAAATTAAATTATGTGAGTAGCTTGTCAGAACAGAAACATCATATAAATTTATCTTCAGAATTTCAAAGACTCTTAGAACAATGTATTTCTCAATTAGAACATTGTATTACTCCATTAAAATTCTTTAATGAGTCTGGACATTTTCAGAGGCTCCAGAACATTTCCAACTTTAAGGACTTATAAATAATAATAATCCCTTTGTGCTCCCTAAATTAGTCTGTGCCCATTTCCAATTTTCAATAATTAACCATTCCAAATAGTAAAAACAGACTAGGGACAAAAGAGTAAGTAAAATTCTAAAAAATAGAAAAAAAAATCTAATCTTCTTCCATACCAAAAACACGTAAATCTTAGCAAACTCAATACAGAATTCCAAACCCAATTTCTTTTCTGTATGTTTAACTTACCTCTTCCTCCAGATCATTCAATTCCATTCCTTAAATGGCTCATGTTAAGATAACCTTAGATGTAAATAAAGTTCTTCTAAGCACCTCATATCCTGGAGAAAGATTTCAGATTCTAATACATCCTGTACCCTTCTGTTTCCACACTGACCGATCCTGTTTTGACACTTGTGTGGTAAAGGGGTGCTATAGGTGGAGTTGTGACTACCAACCTATAATTCAATTTAATGGACCTCACAGCATAAATTTTTTTTTCTTAAATATCACACATATTATTACCATCTTAAAACCTACAATTTGAAAGAAAAATTCTAATTTTACTAAGAACTAAATTCTATAGTCTATTTATGAAGGGTATATATTTTCTATCATGTAAAAGATATTCAAAAATTGTTCTCCATAAGTAGCTATGGGCTTATATATGACCTGCATTAAAGGAAATGGGCAACAAATATTTAATGTGCGTAACACCTACTAGGAAGTATCCAAAACCACTGGAAACATACTTAACAGTAACTTCCATTCCCCTGATGAGGGGCCCTGACAATGGCTGTAAGTGCTAGTTACTCCCTCTTAATTAAACAGGCAGTGTCACAGGACATAAGATCTAGGCCTTTGGAAGAAAATCAAATAAAATTTTTGATCCACCTTGTCGTTCTCTGTACTAGTGATGTAAGAGTTTTTCTAAGAAGAGTGAATCAGAAGCTACCTGTTGAACAAGAGCTGGGTCATTTCCATTGTTTCTTTTAACTATAAATCTAGATTGTTATTTAGGAGTACATAAATGTTAGAACTCTCATAGGTTCCTCATTTATAAAATAAAGGTAAAAAGTAGTGTTTATTGCTATTACCTGAACAATACAAAGAAAGTATGTTCTATACAAAATCTACCTGAAACTACCAGCAAATTAAAACAATTGCGTAAACATTTAGGCAAGAAGAAAAGAACCCTTTCACTTAAATTTAACTGTAAAATAACTCAAATTTTCCACTTATTGCAGCTATTCAAATCTATATTATGGTTGCTTAATAGATGCATTCAGATTTTTAGATTTCTAGATCTGACAGGAACTCTTCAGTAGATTTAGTGTAAAGATTATAAATTTAGGGCTGGGAATGTGGCTCAAGCCTTAGCGCACTCGCCTGGCATGCATGCGGCCTGGGTTGGATCCTCAGCACCACAAACTGTCGAAGATGTTGTGTCCGCCAAGAACAAAAAAATAGATATTAAAAAAAAAAAAAATCTCTCTCTCTTAAAAAAATATTGAAAAAAAGAAAAAAAAAGATTATAAACTTAAAGCCATATGGAAGCCAAACAGTTGAAATAAATGTAGGAAGAGTACATATCTACATAAGTAAGCAGTACTGCTTGAGCTTTATTGCTGTATTAAGAACAGGCCACGGTATAAAAATGTGGCTAGTGAGCCAAATACAATTCACAGAATATTTAGTCTGACTTGTATGGTATTTTCTTTCTTCAAATATTTGCCAGCATTACAAATTGGGATTTAAAAAATAAAAAACAGGGGCTGGGATTGTGGCTCACCGATAGAGCACTTGCCTAGCATGGGCAGGACCCCGGGCTGAGGATATAGCTAGGTGATAAGGCATTCCTGAGTCCAGTCCCCAGTGTATTGGAGAGGGATTGGTGGATAGTGGGAGCCATGTTCTCTCTCACTTCTGAACTTTTAAAAATACTCCTTCTCAGCTGGGTGTGGTGGTGAAGCCAGATTTAAAGTTAGGTAGTCAGTGTAGTTAGGTAAATCGGGTCTAATATTGAGTGAAATCTAAAATGGAGACCATGCGGAGAATGACTCAAGGAAAACACAGGACAACTCATGGAATGTTAATGAAGTCCCCGAAAAGGCCCTAGGCCAAAGTCCACCTCAAAGAAATGTTAATGAACAGCCCCCAGCAAAAAGGTGCTGACTCAGAAGTCCTTCCTGACCAGATTACTTCTTTGGCCCACCTGTGTCCCACCCCTCGGGCCTTCCAACCTACATTCTACATTCCATCACCAAAACTATAAAAAGGGGAAACAACCGCACTTCCACGGATTCCACCTCTTGGGTCCCCTTCTTCCTCCGGGAGAAGTCTTTTCTGCTGTCCTTTAATAAACTTCTAATTTCTACTCTGACCTTGCCTCAGCGTGCTTCTTTGGTGTTATTCTTCAACATTGGGGAAGCAAGGACTTGTCACCAGTCAACAGCGGTAACAGTGGCACATGCCTGTAATCCCCAGCGGCTCCAGAGGCTGAGGCACGAAGATTGTGAGTTCAAAGCTGGCCCCAACAAAAAGTGAGGCACTAAGCAATTCATTGAGAATAGACTCTAAATAAAATTTAAAATAGGGCTAGGGATGTAGCTCAGTAGTCCGGTGCCCCTGAGTTCAATCCTAGATATCCCCACTCCCCAAATAATACTCCTTTCTCAACCTAGAATGCCCATCTTTTCAAATTTGGCTAACTCTACTCTTCATTCAAGATCAGCTCAAATGATCTATTTTGAGATACCTTCCTAGTCTCCTCCTTCCTACCTTCTCTACCTACTAATCCCTATCAATCTACTAGGTAGGTAGGCAGGTAGGTAGATAATTAGATAGCACACTATGGCTATTACAACACTGTATTATTGCTTTCCTTACCTGTGTCCTCTAACTAGAATGAATTCTTTGAACACAACTACTGTTAAATTTCTTCTTATAAATGAGATGATAAAAATGCTTCCTAAATTATATACAATACTAAGATTTGTAATAAATAAAAAAAGGGAACAGAATTTGAGATATTAGTTACAGGTTGGTGAAATTTTAAGATATTAGTTGCTTTTATACTCTCATTTTATAACATGTGGAGGTCACAACTATCATTTGGATAATAATAATGTGCTTAAAATTATTTTTAGTTAGTACTGTTTCTGATTTAACTCATTTAGTGTAATTTCCCATAATTTGAAAAAAAGAAAGGGAGGAAAAAAAGTCAAGATCAGCAAAGCTTAAGAAATGTTTTTTAAAAATCCTTAATAGCATCTTTGCAACAAAACCGTTAAATAAAGAGGACTCTTACATGTAATATTTTATGGAAAAATAGACATTATAAAGTTTATATAAGAAAGATTCACTAAAACATATTTCAAATTGAAACTAAAGAAACAGTTCAAAATATTAACAAAATATAAAGCTGGTTCTTTGAAAAAATAAATAAAGTTGACAAACCTTTAGCCACTCTAATGA